ACTGGATGCTGAGATATTTACAAAAAACGATTTTTTGAGTTTCAGCAAAAAGGGGTGTTTTTGGCCAAAAGTCCATTATGACCTTTATATTAGATATCCAGGGTCCTACTTCTCCACTAATTAATTATGTTATATTTCAGCAAACGGACCAATTCACTATTTATTATAAAATTACTATGAATTAATTATATCTGTTAAAATACATTACATCTGTCAAAATAAATTTAATTAGTATTTTGTCATTTTGACGAAAAGTATATAATTTATTATTTATTAATGTTAGAGACATAAAAATACTGTTATTTGATTCATGATGTGATAAATCTAAAAACTTTAATTAATTTTTATGATTATTTAATGGCAAGTAATTATTATTCATGGTATTTAAAGTTTTAGGCAAATTTACTATACAATTTTTTTTTAATAATTTAACTGTTAACAACTTTTTATCTATATATAAAGCCTAAATCGGCCTTCTAAATCTTTTTTTCAAGCTTAATAAATATTGTAAAGCAAGGTGAAATACTTAATATATGTAAATTTTAGAATTTTAAGATATATAGATGAAAAACGCAATACGATTAACTCTGTAAAATTTCATAAATTTTGCCAATTTTTACAAATGCAAAAATTCATCTATAAGACAACTATTCCAAATAATATTTTTAATATAAACTTTATGATGTTTTCTATGCAAAAATAAAAAAAAATTTAGGTTAATTATTGGAATTTCACATATATAATTAATTAAACAATATTGAAAATTGCGTGCAAATTTGCACACAATTTTTTTTTAATAATTTAATTGTCAGCAACTTTTTATCTATATGTAAAGCTTAAATCAGCTTTCTAAACCTTCTTTTTAAGCTTAATAAAAGTTGTAGAGCAAGATGAAATACGTAATATATGTAAATTTCAGACTTCTAGGATATATAAATGAGAAACGCGATGCGATTAACTCTGTAAAATTTCATAAATTTTGCAATTTTTATAAATGCAAAAATTCATCTATAAGGCAACTATACAAAAAAATGATTTAAAATAATATTTTTAATATAATATTTATGATATTTTTTATGCAAAAATAAAAAAATTCTAAGTTAATTATTGCAATTTTGTATATATAATTAATTAAATAATGTTGAAAATTGCATGCAAATTTGCATATAATTTTTTTATTATTTAAGAAATAAATATCAATTCTTTAGATTTTTTAATATTGTTGTAAGTTGGCATCTAAAAATAGTATTTTTTTTGGATTTAATTTAAAAGTATAAATAAATAATTTGTATATTCATAATAAATAAATAAATTAAAATTTAAAATAATAATTTTATATTAAAATTGCAATTAAACTACTTAAAAATTGGTATTAAAATTACCATAAAAATTATTAAAAATTTTTTTATGTCAATTTTACTGATTTTTAATAGTTTATATTATTATACAAATTGCTTGTAAAATTAGTTGCTTAAAATTTTTAATGTGAATTTTATAATTTATTAAATAAAAATTTTGGGACAATTTGCTATATATATTACCTACCTGATTAGCTAATATAATTACCTAACAGTATACATATAGTTTTATAGAAAAATAACAAAATAACAAGTAATTTATAAGTTAAATTATATTAAAATAAATATATAGTTTTTTACAATTTTTGTATAATTATTAATATTATTTTAATAAATTTGTAAATATATTGCAATTATTAAAAAAAAAAAAAAAATTAAAACTTTTAATAACTAAATTTTTATTAAGTATAATATATTTTTTATACTTTATAAAAATTTTAGCTCTGATTTTAAAATATTAGAATTTTTATATAAGTTTTAAAATTTTTAAAACTTTTTTTATTAATAATTATTTTTAAAAATTCTGGTTTATAATTTATATTATTTTAAAGCAGTTTTTTATAAAACAGATAAAAATATAGAAATTATTTCAAAAATTCAATTAAAATTTTACTGGCATATATGTAAATTTTAAAGTTTTAATTTTAAAACAATTTTTTTTTTAATTAAAAAAACAGTTTACTAGAAGCTGTTTAATTATTTTATAAGTTTTGTATTTTAGATTTTTAGCATAAAAGATAAGTTTTAGATTAACTCAATTTTATAACTTTTTTTTTAAAAGAATAAATATTAACCAGTTTTTATTTTCTTTATAAAATTACCTTTAAACTTTTTATTTATATTAAAAGTATATTTTTTTTTATTTATTAATGAAAATAATAAAAAATATAAATATAATGTATATTATATAATAATATTTTTTATTATTATATAATTAATTAAATAATATAATATTATATAAAAGTTGTATAATTATTTAAATTAATAAAATATTACAGTCAAACCTTGATATAGTGAACCCTTGATATAGTGAATTTTTCAGACAACTATAATAAATTTCCCTTCGCTATAACGAATTAACCAATCAAATCTCTTAAAATCTTCACTATAATCTTATAGCAAAGTTGAGGTTTGAACCCTAGGGTTCATTATAATAAGGGTTGACTGTAGTTTAAAATCTATTATAACTTTATTGTAAATTATAAAGTTTAAATTCATGTATCTGTTATTTATATATTTATATAGATTATAAATTGTAAATATCATTTCAGATAATATTCATAAATAGATAATTTTAAATGAATAATCTATATATTCATATAATTATATTATTCATATTATTTATGAATAAGACAGAATAACTTAAATTATACAAATAGTATGGATAATACAAATAATAATTATAAATAATATAAATTACTAGCTAAACAAAAATACCAAATTTTGTATATTAATTAATTAAATAATTAATAATATTTTTTACATTTTCTCACCTTATTTAATATTTCAATGCCTAAAGTTTGTTCCTAAAATCAAAACTTCTAAAATATTACAATAATTCTGATTTTAAAAAAGCTATTTTTTATATATTCAACTTTTTTAATTTATATTTTAAATAATATCACAATAAAGCATATAAAGCATAAAAGTTTAAAGTGAAATTTTATTTTTTTTTATAAATAAATATAAGAAGTTAATACCGACTAATAGAGTAAAGTTGAATATGAATATTTAATATTCTGAGCTCTAATCTATAAAATAAGAGGGAAATAAGCCCATTAAATATATAGATATATTTATAATCCATAATTTTGAAATTCAGAAATTTAGAACAAATAATAATAGATTATTTACTGAATAGTTAAAATATATTTATAATATAAATCCTTGTTCAAAATGCTTTGATCAATAAATACATTCGTTTGTAATTAATCGATCAATGATCAGCTGTGAAACAGGTCCTAAATCAAAAACAATTTTCAGCTTTAGTTTTTAGATTATACTTAATTTTATAATGTACAACTCTGTATTTTAAAATAAGAACTTTTGTACCTCAGCCAATGATAAATAATTTCTCCATTTTTACTAACGCATCTCATCTATTGTTTAGTATTAGTAACATCAAATACAACAAATACAATCTATATATTGTATTACAGTCTGAATATAATAAATAAATAAAATAAAATAGAAACATTACATAAAGTTTTTTTTCTTTTTTCCATTGAAATAAATATGGTAATATATATTAAAATATTTGCTTTTCTACCGCTTTTCTCAATAATTATTGACGAGTTCGATTAAACAATTAAACAATACTATAGACAAGTCCTGACGAAAATTTCCTCTCACTATCAAAACTAGACAATCATATTGCCTCTTTTACAGCAAATCTTGAAGATGGTGGCCTTTTAGATGTAATATCTATTTTCTTTATTAACTAGTATTCAAAAATGAAGGAATTTTTTATTTATTAGATTTGTTTTGAATAAAAAATAGTCTACTAAAGGTATCTCACAACAAGAAGCCACCGCCACTTACAAATTATTACAAAATGTAAGCTTGCTTTTGGTAAAACAAAAAGAACAGAATAATTCAAAGAAAAATGTTAATGGGGCTAGTGAAGAAATGGAGGAAGAAAAAAAACAAAAGGAAGAAGACAATTCGTTAGATACATTCAATAGAGTTACAGGTAGTTTATCGAGTTTGAACTTAATTTCTCTTTTAAACATAACCTATTTGAAAATTTTTCTAACAAATAATTTCAAAAAAATCAAATAGTTTCTTTTAAAGATTGCAATTATGTGTTTACAGTTTCGGATGATAAAATTTATGGAATTAAACGCGCAAATGAAGTCAATAAATCGTCAGATAGCATTTAAAATTATAGGTCACTACCGTACGGGACTATCACTCTTGTATAACTTAATACAAATGACAAACGTGATAAGAGATTTATCGTTTCGAAACATAAATTTATCCTGATTGGATAAAACATAATTTAAATATCATTTTGTTGATTTATATACAGTACAGATAGTTTTATTTAAGAATAATAATTTACTAACTAAATTGCAAAAAGAATTTTTTTTTTTTTTTTTTTTTTTTTTTTTTTTTTTNAAGTATACGGAATGAAGGAAAAAAAAAAAATAGAAAATAAAAGGACAGTTTTTTTTTCATTAGTATAAGTATAATATATATTATATATACAGTTTAAAAAGAAAGCCTTCACATCTTTATAACTTTCTAATCGTTACAAATAGAATTTGAAGAATTTTCACGAAAAATTTCAACTTTCATAATGATTGACGAATAATCTTAGACTTATATTTGTCCGATAAAGAAAGTAATTGAAGTGGCTAAAGTTTTTTATATGGGTCGTAATATTGGAGTTCATATAATTTTAAAACTGGCGTTGTGAAAAAATACACCGTAAGACTAAATTTGCGATTTTGTTGGCTGACAAATTTATAGATATATCTGATATATTATCCTCCGGAAAATTTGAAAAGTTATCTGTATTACGTATATGTTTGCAAATTGTGATACAAATAATTGATCGACATGTTGGTATATTTTGGCAAAATTGCAACTTTCCTAATAAATTTAACTTTCCCAAACTTTTTCGTTGAATTATTTATTATGTCTTCTGGCCAAACTATTTCAAAGAATATTAGTGAAATCATTGCTAGATATGCTCCAATTTCATTAGGAGCGGATTTATCTAATTTTACAGATAATGAAAAATCTGCAATAAGTAAATTGGTTTCAGTTGGAAAATTAATTGATAGGTTTGTAAAACATTCTCATGTTTTCGCAATATATTAATTGAGTCAATAAAATATAATATCGTAAAAAAATTTTTAAAAATTTATAAAGACTTTTTCTTCGTCAAAAATGGAAGGGAAATGAATCCCTATTAAATCAATTATTATCCGCAAATCCACGTGATGAAAATGCCATCTTGTTCTTTAATTTAATGAAAGGACCATGGGATAGAGTTAATGGATGGGTGTTGCCGTATCCACCAAATCTTCCTGAAGTTAAACCGCCCGGAGGAAATTTTTATCCTGAGGATATGACAAAAGGAGAATTTAATAGTTGGATTGAAAAATTATCATCGGACGATAAAAAACGTGCTAAAGGATTTTATCATACGGTTAAAAGACATGAAGACACTGGTGAATTATATTTAAATCCTTATTCAATTGAATATAAAGATCTATTGAATGATGCATCTGATATTTTGAAAGAATGTGCTAAATTAGTTGAAAATGAATCATTAAGTGAATTTTTAAAAAGTAGAGCTGAAGCTTTCTTAAGTAATAATTATTTAGATAGTGAAGTTGATTGGCTTAATATTAATAAAGAAAGTAAAATCGAAGGTTGGTGATATTTTATCTTAAATGGTGTGAGAAAGTATTTCCATTTTCATCACATATAATAAAAATTTGTATGTTCTAATATTAATATTATGTATTATAGTTACTGTTGGACCTTATGAAGTATATACAGATGAGCTATTCTCTTCGAAAAGTGCGTTTGAATTTTATGTTCACGCGCGTGATTTTCAATCATCTAAAATGTTGGAAAAATTCTCTGGGAGTTTACAAGATGTGGAAAATCATTTACCTATTCCTGATGAATACAAGAATAAAGACTTGAAGGTTACTCCAATTGTTGTAGTTAATCAGTTATACGCTTCTGGGGATGTTGCAGTGCCTATGACTGCTGCTTATAATCTTCCAAATGATGTAAAGAAAATTTTTTGATTTAATCGGATTTTTAGTAAATTTTCTAATATCATAATGATTTTATATTTAGGAAGAAGCAGTTAAACGTGGAGGTAGCAAGTTGATTATCATTAAAAACGTTCAAGAAGGTATTTAATGTTAGAATATTAATTATTTATATAAATTAATTTATATAAATATATTATTATTTAGGAAAATATCAAAAGATTTTGGATCCAATTGCTCAATTAACAGTCGCTCATGATCAACTTCAATATTTGAGCTTTGACGCGTTTTTTGTAAATAAATAGCTATATTTAAATTCTTATTGTACTTTAAATAGTTTAACTAATTTTAATTTCACATAGACCCATATTCTTCTTCACGAAGTTGCTCACTCCAACGGGCCTCATTACATTATTGGAACAGATCATGAAACTGTTCGATCAAGATTACAAGAATATCATTCTGCTATCGAAGAAGCTAAAGCTGGTATATATATTTAATAATCTCTTTTTTTAAAAAAAAAACGGTAATTGACGTCTCTTTGTTATTAGATATAACCGGATTATTTGCAGCGGAGCTTTTACTCAAAAAAGGAGTTTTAACCGCACCGTCTCTTGAACAGTTTTACGTGTCTTACCTTGCATCTGCCTTTAGATCGATTCGGTTTGGTATTAATGAGGTACATGTCTTTTTTATATTTATATATATAAAGTTATAAGGTTATATAGAATTAATTCTAAATTTTGAACAAATATAAGGCTCACGGATTAGGTCAATGTATTCAATTAAATTATATATTAGAAGAAGGAGGATTTGAATATGACGAACAAACAAAAAGATTCTCCGTTAATTTCTCTAAAGTGCCTATAGCTGTTTCAAATTTAACGAGAGATATTTTACTTATGCAAGGAGACGGTGATAAAGCACGTGTTGAACAATTTATTTCAAAATATGGCAAAGTTCGTGATATTGTAGAAGAATCTTTAAAAAGATTAGGTAAATGCATATTGATAATATTTTATTTTTCTTTGATGATACTAATAACTTTTATAATTTTAGAAAATGCAAAAATACCAATTGATGTTAGACCTATTTATAAAATTGAAGCCGAAAATTTATTATGAATTTAGGATATATTTATTATGAATCATGTGTTATAATATGTCTGTAAATTTCAATAAAACAAATTTATTTTTTTTTTTAAAAAAGCAATTGAAAAATTTTTATATTTGAAAATTTCTAATTTAAATTTTCAATTATGAGTAAATTTATACATATTTATATTATGAGATAGAATATATAGAGAGGAAATATTAAAGCAAATTACAATAAACGCGAATTAATTAATATGTTGTAACAGGGTTATCTCCTCAAATTACTGACAAACACCGCAAACAATTTTAACAAATGTTCTTTTTTTTAAAAAATTTTCCAGCTAGTTACATTTTGTTATGCGAAAATTTTTTAATTTCTATAGCAACTCATTATTAAGTCTTAGCCATTTAATCAACTTCTTCAATTGTTGGTCTAAAATTAAGAAAATTAAATAGTTAGATCTATTTCAATAGAAAATAGTAAGATTAATAATAATTTATGTTTAAATATAAACACATACCCTGCATTGTCATCAGCGGGTGCACCACCCGGTGCACCACCTGGGAAACCGCCTGGTGGGAAACCTCCGGCGCCTGGTGGGGCTCCACCTGCACCACCGTAAAGTTTCATCATTATTGGGTTGGCAACTTCTTCGAGTGATTTCTGTTTATGATCATATTCTTCTTTCTCTGCTTCCTGGTTATTCTCAAGCCATGTAATTGAATCTTGAATTGCATCTTCAAGTTTTTTCTTATCTGCTGGTTCGAGTTTACCAGAAATTTTCTCGTCCTATTATTTAGGATAAATTTATTAATCGACACTCTTAAATGATGACAAATTCAAACTATGATCAATGTTTTATAGGACTTACTTGAAGTGTGTTGCGTAAGTTATATGCATAACTTTCCAAGCCATTTCGTGACTGTATTCTTTGTGCAACTTTCTCGTCATCTGCTTTATATTTCTCGGCTTCGGCAACTGTAATCGTTGAGAAAAATATTAATAAAAGCTTATAAAAACATAAAAATGTATTATTAAAGAATGATTACAAACCCATGCGTTCGATTTCTTCTTTCGACAATCGTCCTTTGTCATTAGTGATGGTAATCTTATTTGATCTACCAGTTGTTTTATCAACAGCAGAAACCTGTAAGGATTAAAAAAAAAAATGTTAGAAAAAAAAAAATTATACGCAATTTGATAAATAGTATATTATAGTTACATACGTTTAATATACCGTTTGCGTCAATATCAAAGGTAACTTCAATCTGTGGAACACCTCTTGGTGCTGGAGGAATTCCGGTTAATTCGAATTTTCCGAGCAAGTTGTTATCTCTTGTTCGGGTACGTTCACCTTCATATACTTGAATAAGCACACCAGGCTGATTATCGGAATATGTGGAGAAAATTTCAGATTTCTTTGTGGGTACTGTGGTGTTACGCTTAATAAGCGGTGTCATAACACCACCGGCAGTCTCGATACCAAGAGATAAAGCAGCGACGTCGAGTAAAAGTAAATCTTGAGTCTTTTCTGAAGTATCACCAGATAAAATAGCAGCTTGTACGGCGGCACCATAAGCGACGGCTTCATCAGGATTTATGGATTTGTTTGGTTCTTTGCCATTGAAGAACTCAGATACCATCTTTTGAATCTTAGGAATACGTGTTGAACCACCGACTAAGACGATTTCATGAACCTGACTTTTATCAATTTTAGAATCACGAAGCACTTTCTCGACAGGTTCCATTGTAGATCGGAATAAATCCTGGTTCAATTCTTCGAATCTGGCACGCGTCAATGTAGTGTAGAAGTCGACACCTTCGAAAAGGGAATCAATCTCTATGGAAGTCTGTGCTGATGCCGATAGTGTACGTTTTGCGCGTTCACAAGCAGTTCTTAAACGACGGACAGCACGCGCATTGCTTGAAATATCTTTCTTAAATTTACGCTTGAATTCTTGAACGAAATGGTTAACAAGACGATTATCGAAATCTTCACCACCAAGATGGGTGTCACCAGCAGTGGCTTTTACTTCAAAAATTCCTTCTTCAATAGTTAAGAGGGAAACGTCAAAAGTACCACCACCCAAATCAAAGATTAAAACGTTTCGTTCTCCGGTGGCTTTCTTGTCCAAACCGTAAGCGATAGCTGCCGCAGTCGGCTCATTGATAATACGAAGAACGTTCAAACCAGAAATTAAACCGGCATCTTTAGTTGCTTGACGTTGAGAATCGTTAAAGTAAGCTGGTACTGTGATTACGGCATTTTTGACCACTGTACCAAGGAAAGCCTCCGCGGTTTCTTTCATTTTTATCAATACCATGGATGAAATTTCCTCAGGCGTGAATTCTTTCTTTTCGCCTTTATATTCGACTTGGATGTATGGTTTCCCATTCTTATTAAGGACTTTGAACGGCCAGTGCTACATATTTAATGAAAAAAATCACGTCGATTATTCGTCGTTTAACATTTTTTTAGGAAAAAAATATAAAAATGAAATTGTTTTAGATGTACATACCTTCATATCGGACTGAACATCCTGATCATTGAAATTACGCCCAATGAGACGTTTAGCATCAAAGACGGTATTATGAGGATTCATCGCTACTTGATTTTTGGCCGCATCACCGATAAGACGTTCTGTATCAGTGAAAGCAACATATGACGGTGTTGTACGATTACCCTGGTCATTAGCAATAATTTCAACTCTGTCATTCTGCCAAACACCTACACAGGAGTAGGTCGTTCCTAAATCAATACCAACTGATTTACAAAAAAAAAAAAATTAATTTTTCGCGTCTATAGAAAAAAGAACCTTTGAATTTTTAAACATTTTAGTTCGTGAAGATACTTACCAGCTTTTCCTACTTCAGGTTTTGCTGCTTCACCTTTTGGTTCTGCCATTATTATAATAGATATTTAAATAATTTTTTTATGTAATATGCTTCCTTCCTTCGTTTCTATTAACGGGTTTGAAAAAAAAATATATTCAATTTATGGGTATGGTGAATTATTATTATTGCTATTTTTCTTAAATACTTCAAATGGATTAATAGATACCTTGGGAATAAATTTTTTTTAAAAAAAAAATTTGATTGCGGAAAAGTGTTAGCAAGCCTTTGCATTATATAGAAAATTGGGGCTTTTTACGACATTTCTTTCCAGCAAGTTCGATTCATAATCCTGTGTAATTTTCAATATCTTGGACTACATCATATTATGTTACGCATTTTTTTTTTCATCCAGCATGTTCTACCTAATTCTACTATCTTCTGCAAATCGAGAATTTCTCCGTTTCGTCTGCATAGAACATTTTAGAAGGTTTCTTGAATAGGTTATTTATCACGTGTAAATAGTGTAAATGAATTATTTTATTTATTACGTCAAAATTATAATATTTGTCTAGTAGTGTGACTCATATTATTTTGATTTAGCCATTCATAATTTTTTAATTAAGAAATAGATGCCTCTATCACATGAGATCACTGATTTTAATAGTTCAATACTATCAATACTATCATCAACTATGATAGATTTATTAAGAATTATACATACAATTTAGTCAATTTATGACCGATATTTCCTCACTATGCTGCGTCACGACCGGAATTCATAAAGATTACCGGAAATACGAATTTGAATATTTTTTACTTATAGATAGATAATGTGCAAAAAAATTTCATTTCCTTGCTGTAAACTGGTTTTTGTCAAATTTCGTTATTCTATTTAAGCTTGCCTAAAGTCTTTTAACTCGACCAAACGGAAAACCATTTGCTATAATCCAAACGTAATAATAATTGATCCAAATGTCTTGGCGGCCCACCAAAATCTCCACCTGTCTTATTTACTCCCGAAAGCGTTCGAAACAAAAACATTACTTGTTCACGAAATTCCTTGAAAAAGGAATCAATTTATTTGTTACTATGAAGCTTTCGAAGTTGCAACTGCAAATTCATAAAATTAGATCGTTACCGTGTTATGTTTAGCAATTTGTTCTAATCTTTCCATAAAATCCCTTTGTCCATCCCATCTTTCCAATAATACGCAAAATTTGTCAATTATCTTCAAAGCCATTCTAATTGTTTCTGTACATACACGAGATTCAAGTAAACATCCACGTAACAGTTCATCAAGATATGAAGTGTGACCTAATCTGATGTCCTCAAAATCACGTAATCTCTCTGACTCGTTACTATGAGTATCTTTCTTAGGATTCATTGATTTTGGACGTGTAGGCGATATGGGAGAACTTGGTTCAGTAGTTGATGACGGTCTTTGTTTTTGATGATGTGCAGAAGAAACGGTAATTCGACGAACAAGATTTTGAAAATTTGATTCAATAATATCCATCTGTAATGTATAACATGCATATTTCAAGCGAAATTATTTGTAAAAAAAAATTGAGACATATATTCAAAAAAATAACTTTTTTCATACTATGAAAATAATTTAAACCTGCACGTGAGCCCATAAACAATCCACGAAAAACATCATGGATGCACGAACATTCCAAGGCATTAGCATGATATTATTACCTCCTTTAGAAAATTTGTAATTTCTTTCCATCTTTACATTAGTCGCAAGATGAGTCCAGACTTTTTGAAGTTTATAATGAGTACGACGAAGAGAAATTAAGAATGAAAATATGTCCCCATATTTGGATAGATCTTCAGAAGTAACAAATAAATCAAGAGGCCAGCCTATATCATATTCAAATCTGAGTGGAACGCCTACAAGAATATCATCAAACATGCTTGTTGCCTTTTCTGAAATTTTAAATCTAAATTTTTCAAATGCCAAGTCTTTCTCTGCTAATGTACCAACAGAAGCTCGAACTAACAAAGAATTCATTTCTTGTTCTTTAATTAACGGAGCCCTAGTAGATGAAAGTCTTGAAGTAGGCAACTTTTCAAATTGTTCAACAAGTGAAGTTGTAAAATCGCCTTGCCCAAGTAAGAAATAATTTTTAAAGGTTTCAAGACATTCGACAACTTTATCACCTGTCAAAACAACTTGCCATAACCACTGAGCAACATTGTCACGAATAATATTAACAATGTTTTCAAGCTCGATCTGATTAAATACCGGTCTTGATGAGAGTTCCAATAAATATTGCAAATGTAATGAAGCAATTTGATCGGGAAACTTGCTATGTTTGTCATATGGCTTGGCTGAATTTCTGACAGTAGCAATTGCTTTCCCAACAAATAAAATTGATTTGGCAACATCGTTAGGAATATGATTTGGAATAAACGATTCATCGAGAATAAAACGTCGATGCCATTTTGATCGGCTAAACTGTTCTTGTATTTGAATTGGATTTAATTTTAAGGTTTTATCTTTAATGAAAAATTCTCCAAAGGGATCCACCAATTGTCCATAAACCAACCATGAAGCGATATGTTTATACATCACTTCATGACATGCATGCAATAGTTTCAACATAATTTCTCGTAATTCAGGTACACCTGTATTACATTTGTCAATGACCAAATTAATTATTCGACAACCGAAATATTTTACAGAATTTTGTTCTATATCATTTATCAATTGGTTAAGATGTGGAAGAATGATATAATACTCATTAAAAGCAGAAACTAATTGTGAAATGGGAACTACTCCGCCCATATTATCTTCTTTGCTTAGAATTCTTATCTCGGATTCGATAATTGATTTATGAAAGTCTGCCAGTACTTCATTTATGGCGTTACATAGCGCGTGTAAGAATGAACCACGTAAAGTATTATTGCTACCCTTTTGAGCCTCGATAGATTCAGAGTTATTATTATTTTCGTTTCTACCACGTTGTTTATCAAGAAAGTTGGCTATTTTTCGATAATAAAAGCCTAAAGCAGAGAGTCGTTCTAAAGAACTTTTTTCTGCTTCGTGTAAAAATGGAAAATCTGGTGGAATTTTAAAAGTTGTCGCTATTTCTGGTTCTGGAGGATATGGAACAAACAAGTCACCAGAAAGACCAGATAAAGCTAAGAGCATTTCATGAAGCATTTTAAAAAAAAATCAATTCAATTCGTAACGAAGATAATAGTATCTTGTGATGGTGTAAATCAATCAACCAATGAAATTTGAGAATTAAGAATCGACCAATGCTCATCTTTTTCTATTTGTTTTCTTACTACTGATAAAATTACGTTTAAAATGATAGCTTTGCGCGTTTCAAAATTAATTAAATTGCATACACGTGTAATGCTTTTGAACAATTCATTATTTTTATCTACATTTTCTCGTAATTTAAGAATAAAACAAAGTAGTAAAGTTCACCAAATTTTTTTAATTAAAAATTTTAAACGACCTCAACTAAACACTAACATATATCGTTTTGCTTCAAACGTTAACAATAATAATGTTAATAAGTTTTCAACAAACGAAGAAAAATATGAGGAAACTAAATCATCTTGGATTGATACTTATCTTCCCTCAAAACTTGTTCCATATGCACTTTTAGCTCGTTTAGACAAACCTATAGGAACGTGGCTTTTATATTTACCATGCAGTTAAGTTTAATATTATCGATTTATTTTTAAGTTATCCAATTTATTGAAAAAGAATTTTAAATAGCATGGAGTATCACTATGGCAACATATCATGCTCATTTGCCAGTTTCTCAAACAATGTATATGCTGTCATTATTTGGTGTTGGAGCTTTTATTATGAGGGGAGCGGGATGTACGATAAACGATATGTGGGATAGAAAAATTGATAGTAAAGTTGAACGAACAGCAAATCGGCCTCTTGCTTCGGGATCTATAACTCCTTTCCAAGCATTAAGTTTCTTAAGTTTACAATTATCGGCGGGATTAGCTGTACTAACTCAATTGAATTGGTATAGGTAAGAATGATTATTAAACTTTTATTAAGAATAATTATAATATTTATTTTTCGTAGTATTTTTCTTGGAGCAACTTCTCTGAGCATAGTGACAATATATCCATTTATGAAACGCGTGACATTTTGGCCACAATTGTACTTAGGTATGAAACTAAGAAGTAACAATATATAAATAATTTTGGCATTTAATTGCACATTGTGTAATTATTAGGGTTTGCTTTTAATTGGGGAACCTTGTTGGGATGGCCTGCAATGATTGGTAGTAGTGAGTGGTCTGTCACGCTTCCTTTATACACAGCGGGCGTGTGCTGGACGTTAATATATGATACTATATATGCTCATCAGGTGACAAAATTTTTTCTCACGAGTATATATATATATATATATAATTTTTATTGACAAAATTTAATATCCTATACACAGGACAAAAAATTTGATTCTATAGTTGGTGTAAAATCAACCGCTATTCTTTTTGGAGATAGGACACGATGTTGGCTCACGTTTTTTTCAGGTTCGATGTTATCTTGTCTTGCTTTAGCTGGATATATGAACGGAAACGACTGGCCATATTATTTTATCTCGGTGATGGGTGCTGGATCGCACCTCGCTTGGCAGCTTTGGACTGTCAACATTGATGACGCGGCTGATTGTGGCAGAAAATTTCGTAGTAATAAATGGACTGGAGCTATAATCCTTTCTGGGATTGTGACTGATATCTTATGGCAAAATTTAAATCCTGTAAAACAAATAATTCCATAAATATTAATTTAAAAATTTAGCACTGAAAAATTTGAAATGAAAATGAAAATGAGTGTTTATTGAACTTATTTACAAAAGTAATTCAAAGGAGAAAAATAGAACTAGAAATTTTTGGATAGAATCAAAATTAATTTATCTGATTCTTCTATTTAATATTACATTACGTATAAAATAAAAAAAAAAGGAAATTTTTTTCTTGGTTTAATACAATAATCATCGATAATTAATACTTTCTTCCTAAAGAATATAAGAATTATAAAACTCCCACTCCCACTCCCATCCTTCTTTTCGTTTATCGTCATCAGTATTAACAATTAAATGTCCCAACAATAATTGCAATCTTTCAATCGCGACATGCTTAAGATATTCGTTTTGTAGTATATCGTCATCATCTTCATGGTCTTTATCATACCAACGTGTTGGTGAAAAGAGTTTGTCCCAATTCCATTCAGCCGTGGATGAAGGCCTACGAGTTGTTGTGATCGGACATGTTAAGATGGCGGTCAGAAGGTGATCAATGAAGTAAAGTTGAGCTTGGAACAAGTCGCAATGATTTGTACAAAAAATATTCGTTATTTTTTGACTTGTGTCATTTGAATTTTGTAAAAATTCTTGAACAAAAGAATTTTGTGAAGTAGAATGTCGACGCTTTCTATTATGTAATTTGTCTAGATTTAAACTATGTTGCTGTTGAATGTATAATTGGGTAAAATGTTCATCACTCCATTCTTGTCGGAATTCTTCTTCCTCCTCATCTTCTGACATAAAAAAATCGGGAAACTCCTGTTTCACGTTACCATGAACAACATTTTGTTGAAAAAAATTGTCCCACTCTCTGTTATCGTCTGTCCAGGGCGAAGAACGAAAAGAATTTGTAGTATTTCTCCTCCCTTGTTCTATATTAGATATAAGTGTTTTTGAGGAAGAACCAGTAATACTAGCATCTTGAAGACCGTTTGAAAGACGTGAGACCGACCCATTATCAGTACAAGATGATGATACTATGGCCGACATGTTTAGTCCTGAGGAAGAGAAAATACACCAAGTATTTTATTTTTTTTTTATATTAAAAAAAATTTTCAATCGTTAATTGCAACTCGGCATATTTGGGCGGACACTTGCATAATTTAGTATAATTAGCGATCAACGACACAAAATCTTTAGATCATCGCAAACAATCAGACCTTTAATCTTTACTTTTTGACTGTAAACACTGGTGACATTTTAGAATTTTTGCCAATTTTTTTATTTACTTTTCATTTGAAATGTTGAACGTGATCGAGTTGCTTAATTATAGCATAACATATTAGTAATTTGATATGGTACTTAAACACTTAAGTCAAATTGAAATAATTTTATTATAAATATGATTTTCTTTCTTTTTAATTATTTTAACCCTTTATGGATAGGGATAAATAAAACCAGCATGACATTGCAAAAGAATTTCTACAAATCTTGTTCATCATAAATTAATAACCTGGTTGGATTTTCCCATATCCCTTAACAAGTAATTGACTAGTTAGTGGGGCAGATACCAGATAGCTATTTTTAGATAAATTAAATTTCGAACCATTTATTCTCATTTTTTGTGAGTTTGGAGTTTGTATTTCAAATAAAAGTATCAATTTTTAATACCACATCAATAAATTAATACCCGAACCGAGAAATACTAGAATTAATAGTTTTCGAATTTAGAAAGCTCGAGATTAATCCGAAATTACAAATTCTGTCTGCACAAAAATTCACGATAAAAATATTTACGAGCAAGAAGGAACTGTCATAAAAACTTTAGAAATAAAGCGAATTGTAATAATATTTTAGAAATAACAAACTTCGTAGATTTAAATTTTGAATATTGTTCATATTATATTTGCTGAAAGGCAAATTTGTTAAGGATATAAAATTCTTCATTGACAATACACGTTCTAGAAAATGTGAAAACCTTTTAAAAGTTTTTAATCCTGAAAGATATATGGGGTTTATGAATTTAAATAACATTAGAAACATTTTCTCCTGATAGAAATTAAGGATGATAATGCTCTATTTTGATATTTTTTAATATTTTATTCATTAAATTACGTTCGCTATATTTTGTCTGTTAATCGAGAAGTGAGATAGAATCAAAGATGTTGACTCTGTGCTCAACCAAACTTTCTAATCGAAAGTAATTGAAAGCAATGAAATTTAATACAAAAAGTGCTTCAAATTTGGAACGCGGTCAGCTGTGATCACGTGCGTAATAAAGTAGATCAGTCATCAGTATCAAAATTTTCTAAATTTCTTATTGATATCTTTACAATGTTATCAAATACGCGTCAACTTAAACTAACTAAACCTTTATACGTTTATAAACCAGTAATATCTTTGCGGTATGTGAGTAATGATATACAACGAAGTTTTAAAACCAACTCTAATATTCAAGAACAACAAAGTACGCAAATTACAGACATAAATATAAATAATATTCTATCTCAAACGGACAAATTGAATGCTTGGAGTGATGTTTTTGCCAAGGCACCACAAAATGACGCGTCAAACAGTAAATTGTCTAGACAGGATTTGAAAAGATATTCTAAACAGATTGTAAAAGAAGAAAAAGAAAAGCATATTCTCGAAGGTAATTTGGAAATGGAAATAAATCAAGGGGTAAGGCCGAAAGAAGAAGAAAGTCAGAGTAAGCACATAAATTATTCTACCGGATTTTATTCAGTTTGAGTGAGTTTAATGTTTTCAAAATTCATCATCTTATCATATAGATAATATCATGATTTGATTCAATTAGAATAAGAGAAGAGAAATAAATTTTAATCACAAAAGGTTTGTTATAACATCATTTTTTTTTTTATAATTAGGAGTTATCAACGAAGCAGGTGTACATATGCTTCCAGACTGGCTTTACAAGCAAGTTTTCAATCGTTCAATTCGTCCTGTTCCCCCCAAAAATCTTGTAGAAATATCAATGGAACATTTGAAAGAACAAGGATATTATAATAAAAAGGCCGATACTGTACCTAATATTAATCAGTTCAAATTACCGAAATTATGTGGAAAGACAATATCAGAACATTTTTGGAGAATTGGAGAAGAACAAGCGCGTCCAATTCGTGACTTGGCAATGCATCTTGTGGGCACAAATTTACCGACAATGCCAACAAACTGGATATTGCGTCCGGGTTGGACGCGTTATGAGGGAGGAAAACTTCCTAATTCTGTAGATTATCCAAATGAAAGTATTTTATGTTTTAATACTAAAACATTCGATGAACATAAATACCCATTAATAGCTTGTGCGGCATCTCCTACTGCGTGGTATTCCTGGATATCGCCGCGATTATTAAGTAATGATGATGAAATTGATTGTGATTCAAAATATTTGATTCCAGTGGGAAACCTTAAAAAAGATAGGTTAATTGTTGGACATAATGTTGGAATTGATCGGATAAGGATTAAAGAGGAATATCATTATGCAGGATCAAACATTAGTTTTTTAGACACACAGTCTTTGCATATTGCAGTTAGCGGTATCTGTTCTCGATTGAAAAATGATTGGAATAAATATAATAAGGCTTATAAAAATAGTGACAAACAATATATGCTACAAGAAAAAAAATTTCGGAAAATTTATGATGTCTCATCAGTCAATAGCTTATATGAAGTATATAATTTTTATTGTAATCAATATTTAAACAAACCAGGACGGGATGTATTTATTAAAGGGACTTTCAAAGAACTTCAAGATACAAAAAATTTACAACAAGCTATTGTTTCTTGTGCAAGTAACGTAGAGGCAGCACATCAAGTTTTTCAAAAGTTATTTCCGAAGTTTATAGATGTTTGTCCACATCCTGTATCATTTGCCGGAGTGGTTCAAATGGGAAGTATGTTTTTGACGACGAATAAAGATTGGGAAAAGTTTATAATTAATTCTGAAGCGAAATATAAATCTTTAAATGAATCAATCGAATCAACTTTAGGGAAATTAGCTGGTAAAACCTTGAAAGAAAGAAATCATGGCGATCAATGGGTGAATCAATTGGATTGGAGAATCAATAGTAGTAATCATCCAGAATGGTATAATAAAATTTATAACAAGAATACAAATAAGGTTCGAGTGACTGCTTTAAGTCAAATTGCACCAATTTTACTAAAATTGAAATGGTTAAATTATCCTGTTTATTATTCAAAGCAATATGGATGGATGTATCGCGTTCCAATTGAAGATAAACACTTCACAGTAAATTCTGAATTGTGCAAATTCCCTACACTACCGGAACATGTTTACTATGAACCTCACTTTTCAGAGGATAAAAATGGATCTTATTATTGTATACCGAATAAAAATGGAAGGACAAATCGTTGCGGTACTCCACTTGCTAAAAAATATATTTGTGATTTTGAAAATGGTACGTTGCAATCTGACCGCAAAGAAGCTGAAGAAATTCTAAAATTTCATGCAGCCTGTACTTACTGGATGTCTATTCGAGATAGAATTAAATCTCAATTGCCAATTTATTCTGGTTATTCTGGGATTTATAATTTTGGGTTTGATACGAATGATGAGGAAGACATCGGAATAATTCTACCTAAAACTATAGCAATGGGAACAATTACACGACGTGTTGTTGAAAATACTTGGGCTACTGCAACAAATCCCAGAGAGTATTTAATAGGATCTGAACAAAAATCTATGATTAAAGCACCTAAAGGATATAAAATAGTAGGAGCAGATGTAGATTCACAAGAAATGTGGATATCAAGTTTGATAAGTGACGCAGAATTTGGATTTCATGGCGCTACTGGATTAGGATTAATGATGCTTCAAGGTAGTAAATCTGAGGGTACAGACTTACATTCCGAAACTGCTAAAATTTTGGGAATAACACGAGATGATGCTAAAGTTTTTAATTACAGTAGATTATATGGAGCTGGTATAAAAACTATCTTGGGAATGCTTGAAAATTCCTTTGCCAATATAAATGTGGAAGAAGCTGAAGAGAGAGTAAAAACCCTATTCAAAAAAACAAAGGGTCAAAGATATTATAGTTCAAATATTAATGGACACGGTTTTTGGTTTGGTGGTAGTGAGACATACTTGGCGAATCGTTTAGAAGAGATTGCGACATCATTAGAACCTTTAACTCCTGTATTGAGGTGCGGGATAACTAATGCATTGAAACCTGCAAATGCTGATCGAAGTTATATGACTTCACGTGTTAATTGGGTAGTCCAATCATCAGGCGTAGACTACCTTCATTTACTTTTAGTGTCAATGAAATATTTGATTAAAAAATATAATATAAATGCACGTTTCATGTTATCTGTTCACGATGATGTACGTTATCTTGTAAAAGAAGATGACGCATATCGTGCTGCATTGGCACTTCAAATCAGTAATCTTTGGACCAGAGCAATGTTTAGCCATATGTTGGGCATTGAAGATCTTCCTCTGGTATGTTATCTAAATATTTATTAAAAATAAATTATTTAACATTTTATTCAATGTTATTTTTTTCAATATATTAGACTACTGCGTTTTTTTCAGGTGTAGATATAGATCATGTATATCGTAAAGAGGTTGATATGAAATGTAATACAATTTCACATCAAATTGAAATTGAACCAGGAACTCGTGTTTCGATTCAAGAGATTTTAAAACATCAAAGAACATTACGATGCACTGATTCAAGTTTATGTGATGAATCATTAGAACCTGATTTTGTAAAAGATTTAGGATCTTACGACTCATTTTTATGGAAAGCATATCAACCAAAAGATGATAAATTATTTCTTAAAGCTCAATCCATGTCATCTACAGAAGAAATAAAAAAACTATGTAAAGAATCAAATTCACCAGAGATAAAAACGTATACCAATCAATTACTAAACAAAAAGAAACGAGTATTTGAGCCATATGTTGAAACACCAGAAGCTAACAGTAATTAAAAACATGAAAGCAAGTATTTATAATGTATAGTATTTGTTTTCCGTTTATTATCTAATCAATTAAAATCATCAATACTAAACCAACGAAAATGACTGAATGTTAAAAAATATTGATAATTAATTGTTTGATGTTTAATATATTATAAAACATAATGTTTTTTGCAAAACCAAAAAGTTCTCGAAACGGCTAATGTACTACGGCAAGATTTGCCAATTGTGCAATTTTGTGAGACTCGATTAGTTGCCATGTACAAACTATAAAAAGTATAATAATGGCCATAATAGCAAATTCTGTTACTTTATCATTAGAATTATCTTTAAAATTACATTATATAAATCTAGTAATAACTTGTATGACCCATAATTGGTAGTGTATAGTGGCTGGTGAGTCACGTGTAAATAACAATGCGGCAGTAGTGGTTATATAAACAAATCAAATCACATCTCACATATGGCAGGGCTGATATATCAAGTGTAATTGATTTAACAGGTTTAACAGGTTCAGTATATCCGTAGGTTATTTATACAATAAAAAAATGTGCATGAACGAAATGAAAGAAGAATAGGAGTATGTATCGGGTCTCCGGCAATGACAATGATTTAACAGACTTTAAAGTCAAGCAAAAAAAAGGTAAAATAAAAAAGAGGGTACTTCTGGTAAGGAAAAGAAAATTCTATCCCCTAATAAGTGAATATAAAATAATTAAAAAAAGTACTAATTAGTGAGAGAAAGATTTTTTTTCGATTTTTCGATGAATATCCTACTCATTCCGCGCATGAAACAAAAATCTTCTGTTACACAGCCAAGTACTTTATATTCTATCAACGTGACCAACGTGGCTACCTCAGCCAACGATGTTACCTTGTAAATACTATAAATGAAAACAAAATACCAATGGCTCGTTTATATACATTCCTTTTCAAAAGGCACACTTTACACTAAATTCATTAAATAAAAAGAATTCGCGTGCACATATCCCGATCGTTCAATATCTATTTTTTCGTTGTCTTAAGTAAATTCCGTTGTGAAGACGTATATATATACGCTGAACAAAAGACTGTGCACAATAAATCGATCGTTCAATATACAATAAAATTACAATGTCGAAATATGTAGTGAAAGCTACTGCTCGTACAATGTAAGTATATGTCGCTCTAAATGGTTTCTTGATTTATACCAAGGAATTACCGGCATCTACTATTTGATTAAAAAAAAAAAAATTGTTTGTAACCATAATATAATTTAAATCTGTTAAGTTTTATATTTCTCTCACACTTGCATATTTTTCTTATATCACAGAAAAAATTATACAAAAGGGTATTCAGATATTCAGGCAAAAGTTCGATCTGCAACCTCTAATGACCCATGGGGTCCAAGTGGTACTTTAATGAATGAGATTGCTAAAGCAACATACAATCAGTAAGTAGTATACTATGTTAATATGTTAGAATTTATTTCTTTTGTATAAAAAAAAATACATTCTAAATTAAAATCTTTTTAATTAGTAATGAATTTATAGAAATCATGGAAATGATTGACAAAAGATTAAACGATCATGGCAAAAATTGGAGACATGTTTTCAAAGTGAGTTAAATAAAATTACTCTAGATTTCAAAGAAATTTTATAATGACATATAATTGTATATCTTTTGACAAATTAGGCACTCACATTATTGGATTATTGTCTTCACGGAGGTTCAGAACAAGTTGTAAGTTATGCAAAAAAGAATTTATATGTAGTGAAGACTTTAACAGAATTTCAGTATATTGATGAGGAGGGTAAAGACCAGGGTGCAAATGGTATGCTACAGTAACCTATTTATTAATTCCACATTTTATTATCATATTATAAAATTAAAGTGTTTATTTTGTTTGAATAATAGTAAGGCAGAAGGCCAAAGAAATTACCAATCTTCTCCAGGACGAAGAAAGACTTAAACAAGAAAGACGAAATAGAGATGATATGAGAAGACGTATGGGAGGTCGTAGTGATTATGTAAATGACCAAATTTCAGATAGGTCAATCGAACCTGGTTATTTAGATGATGAAAGCGAGATGCAAAGAGCAATTGAAGAGAGTAAAAGATCTGCGCAAGAATATGAGGCAAGGATAAAAGAAAGGTATAATATCATCTTAAAAAAAATATTTTTTAATATATTATAGTATTTACCTTAATTATTTAATATTAATAATATTATTAACAGTGAGCATGATGAAGTAGAAAAGGCATTAAGATTAAGTAAAGAGGAAGAGGAAAAACGATTGGCCAGATTAGCTGAACAAAATGAAAAACCGTTAATCGACACGTCAGGGTGAGTTATATTTTTTGACTATATATTACGTTCTATTATCGTGTCACTTATATTCTATATTTTAAATTTCACTTTATAGATTTGGAAATAATCCATTTCCACAGCAACAAACCGATTTCTTTGGTCAACCAATCAATTCTCAATTTGGAAATAACCAATTTAGTCAATATAGTAGCACTTCTAGTAACCAGTTCGATCCTTTCGATATGATTGATAACTCACAAAACTCGATTAATTATAACCTCTTGAATAATAATCCGTTGAATAATAATCCATTGAATAATAATCCATTAAATAATAATCCATTGAATAATAATCCATATCAAATGCAACAATCTCAATCTTATCAAACATCAACCGTTGGTTCAAATAATCCATTTGGAAACTTTTCGCAGCAGAAACCAGATTTTGGAACAACTACTTCATATGGAACAAATGGAACAACTACTCCATATGGAACAAATGGAATTTCATCTTTCAATATGTCCACATCTAATTTTAGTTCACCTAATTTGGCGACATCAACGTTCGAATCATTTTCATCATCTAATAAACAGGTATACTACAATAACCATTATCTAATTTTTAATTTTAATGCTAAAATTATATATATATATATTTTTAAATAAATTAATGTGTTTGTATAGCCTAATTTCGACAGTTTAATTCAATCACAAGAAGTAAATATTTCACTTATTTTTCATATGTGAATTGGTAATTCGCTAAGTTATGATTAATTTTAACCTTCATTTAACCAAAAATGTAGATAACAAAAAAACCACAGGACGAAAAACATTCAAAATTGGCTTCACTCATTGCTAGTGGGGGGTGAGAATCAAAATAATTGAATTACAATTCGTATCTTCAATTTTTAATATTTTATTTCATTTAGAGATGGCATGGATACCTTCGGTAATGTGGGAAATCGTCGTGTCCCGGCGTAAGTATCAGTTAGTTTTTGATGCATATTAAATAAATATTAAGATTTATTTCCTTTATTTAAAGGGGATCTGGCTTTGCTAATGCTTTATCCGTCCCATCACCGAGACGATCAAATTCAACTGGTGATATTTCTATAAATCAAGCTAATCCATTCCTTAATACTGGAGGATCTGGAGGAGGTGATGGTGGCGGCGGCTATAACACTTTTAGCCATCCTACTACCACTACTAGAAGCACCGATTTATTTTTCGGTAGTACTGGCAACAACACATTTAATCAAGAGGCGAATCAGGCAAGAATAAACGAAAGTTTTAGAATTTAATATCTTTAAAATACTTCTTTTGACGATCTATTTTCTATTTTCTCATTTTTTTTTAGTCAATAACACCATTTTCAAGCTCATCTTATGCAACTAATACAACTAGTAATACCCTTATTGATCTAAGTGATGTGGGAGGTGGTTTTGGTACTCCCCCAAGTAAGAATCCTTTTCAAATACAGACACCAAATACTAATACACATAACGTTAATAAACCGGTCTCACTTAACGATTTGGCAAGATTAAATCAACAAAATTCACCTTTTCACCAAAATACTGGAGGATTTGGTAATTGGTAACAAATATAGAAAGGTTTTTATTAGAAGACACAAGGACTCTTTTATATTTGTAATTTTATATTATATTTATTTTTAGTCCTTTTTTTTTAAAAAAAAAAGTTTGGCTTTAAAATAAGCTAATCGAACAAATCATTTATTTGGTATACATATTTTTTTTCGTTGTAATATTATTATATTTGTTTTTTACATTTTTAATTAGCAATAAAGAATATTTAAAAAAAATCATTTTGATCTCCACAATTATATGAAATAACATGCTAAAAATGTGCGCACTGTAATAAGAAATATAAAAAATTGTTAGTTCAACTGCTGCATAGTTTATTATTATTTGACAAGTGTATATCCTCTTGTGATGCTGTCATGCGGTGAAAATTTTTGTGCACGAATCAAAAACCTCGACCGATAATCATTGATTATGTGAGACAAAGTATGCGCGACTTAGTTCTAAGACCACCCATTCCCGAAGATATAGGTTCTGCACGATGTGTGGTTTCAGCTGATATTATAAAAAAGAGGAGATTATTAGTTGGACAATGGGTCCGAATAGATTCTGTATCAGTTGTATGCAACTTTATTTTTGTGTTCGCGTTATTTTATACAATTGTTAACTTATTGTAATAAATTAGTCATTGTACTGTCGTATATGGCCAGCTTCGATACCGGCTGGTATAATTCAAGCTGATAATTTCATAAGTAAAAATGTAAAATCATTAGATAGATCGAATTTAAACAATTTATCATGTAAGAAATATAAAAAGGTTGATCTATTTGACGATTTGACAAGATATCGACAAAGGTCATAATTATATATTAGGCTCATTAGTTTCTTTAAGAATTCCTCTGCAAAATGTTAAAGAAGTTGTGGTCTCCATTAAACTTCATAATTTCGAGGGACGAAATCAAGAATTAAAGCAATTACATGAATTAGGTTTTGTGTGGAAGAAAGGATCGGATTTTATTAGGTTACAGGTAAGCAATTGTCACTATAATTTATTAGATGATTATAAATTAACTTAATTATAGACCATTAGAAATATATTAAACGGGAAATTAATATGTGATGAATGTATCATATTTGATGAAAGACGTCATTTGGAAATAAAAGTATTTATGAATCAAAACGGTTGCTTTTTTTTTAATTTCGAAGGAACAGATTCATTCTTGGGTTATTATTTAGATTCTTGCGACATCTCCAAGTGACGAATCACTTTTTACAAATGAAAGTCAAATTTCAATTGTCGACACTTTAAATAATAAAAATATACATAGTTTTGATAATGAAATTGGTCAGATATCGTCATCATTACAAAGTGTTTCATTAGAAGAAAATTTTACTAGGAATGTTCCTGGGCTCGAAAAGGCTTTTGAAACACTTTTTGAAGTCGTTGTTTATCCATTATTATATCCAGATTTAATACAAAAGTTGAAGATTGAATGCCCAAAAGGTATTACAAGAATTTTCTCCTTTAGGAAATATATATATGCTCAATATAACTTTATGTATTACTAATGTTTATTAGGTGTGTTACTTTATGGGCCATCTGGTGTTGGAAAAACATATCTAGTTAGCACAATTGCAAAAGCTTGCAATGCAAAGATGGTATGTGATTGATATAATGCAATATTTGCAATGAGAATTGTTTAACGTGAAAACATGCATTCTAAAATAGATTTCAATACGTGGACCTGATATATTTGGGTCTTATGTTGGAGAAAGCGAGGCAAGGCTGAGAAATAAGTTCTCTCAAGCAAAAAAAATGATATCTGAGGAAGATGATCCAATAATTCTTTTTATTGATGAATTGGTATTAAATATCATCACTTTCGGTTTTCACAATATCTGTTTGTTAAATTTATTAAAACTAGTTATCCATTAGGAAGCTATAGCATCACATCGAGAAGAAGCACGATCTCACGAATCTCACGTTGTTGCTCAGCTTTTAACGTTGATGGATGGCATTGAGTCACGCGGAAGATTGATTGTTATAGCAGCAACTAATCGACCTAATGTTATTGATCCAGCTTTAAGAAGACCTGGGCGGTATGGTTTAAATTCACAAGTTGATATTAATTGAGCACATAAATTTAATTATACATAAATGTTTGATTAGATTCGATCGGGAAGTAGGTGTTGATGTTCCAAATGAAAAGGCACGCCAAAGAATATTACGGTTTCAAACATCACAAATGCCACTTGAAAATGATGTTGATGTTGGTGAGTAATTAGTAAATATAACAAAATTATATATAAACTAATTATAAAAGTGTTATTTTGTATTATTTTGTAGGTTTTTTAGCTTCTATAACTAATGGATATGTTGGTGCTGAATTAGCTACGTTATGTTGTGAAGCTGCAATGAATGCAGTTAATCGTCGCATTTCCAATACTTCTAGAGATAAATTTAAAAAGTAAAAAGGGTGTTTATTTCTATTATTTCTTACAAAGAAATGATGGTATTTACAAAATAATTATTTTAGGTCTACGTTTAATATTACCATGGATGATTTTATGGTGGCGATGTCACATGTTTCACCTTCAATAAAACACAATTATCAAGTGAATTTTGAAGAGAAAAACTGGGACGATATTGGTGGATTAGATACGGTTAAAAAAGTTGAATATTATTAATTATCTTTCACTTAATATACTTACTGTACATTAAATTTCTAATAGTTTATTTAATTTATAGCAATTAAAACAGGCAATTGAATGGCCATTACAATATAACAATACATTTAAAAAACTAGGATTAAAACCTCCAAAGGGAATTCTTTTGTATGGGCCGCCTGGATGCAGTAAAACTACATTAGTCAAGGTAATAAATATTATCATTGCCAATATATTCAATAACTCAACGTTGTCTTATAATTTAGGTAATAGCCAGCGTTTCAGGTGCAATGTTTTTATCTGTTAATGGAGCTCAACTTTATTCTCCTTACGTTGGAGATTCCGAAAAAACAAGTAAGTTCATCCATTCGACTTAAGGCTTATTTGTACTACTTATCTTTACCATTTACAATTCAACCGTTAGTTCAATCTATATTTCAACGTGCACGTGCTTCAAATCCATCTATTATTTTTTTCGATGAAATTGATGCTATTGTTGGAAAAAGATCTTTGGGTGAAGGAAATAGGAATGGATATAGTGTTCAAGAATGTGTTTTGTCCATGCTACTCAATGAAATGGATGGAATTGAAATTGCAACATCAATTCTTGTAGTAGTAAGTTATACGTAAATTATAATTTCACAAATTAGCTTTTATTTATTTAAAATTTATTTCTTTACTAAGGGTGCAACAAATCGACCAGATATGCTTGATGCAGCTCTTTTACGACCCGGACGGTTTGATCGTCTTATATATGTAAGTTATACCATGACACGCAGTATTGTCAAATTTATGTAATATAACATATGATTCTCCGGGTACAATGTTTAATTTGTTATTATTATATATATCTAAGGTTCCACCTCCAGATTTTAAATCACGTAAACAAATTTTAAAGATACATACTTCCAATATGCCATTAAATGAAGATGTAGATTTAGATTTTATTGTTAAACAGGTATTTATTTAATTTAGTTATGTTCATTTTGTAAATTGCTAAAGCTCACCGGCGGTGATGGTCACCGTACCAGCATTATGATGTATTTTCGACCAGAATTAAAACCCTAATAAAATACTGGCCGGCATTACATCATAATTTCACCATCGGTGATCATCACCACCGGTGATGTTTAGCAATACCTTTGTTAAACGTGTTAAAAGTATTGATTTTATTTTTGTAGACTGAAATGTATACAGGTGCGGATATTAAAAATTTATGTAGAGAATCTGCAATGATAGCATTACGCAGAAATAGAGATATTTCAGATGTGGTAAATATAAATACATTATTATTTACTTGTAAGCAATTACTTATTTATTTATTAAATAATTAAATTATAGAATATGTCTGATTTTTTGAGAGCTTTAAAAATTACAAAAGCTTCATTAACTGCCGAAACCTTAGCATATTACGAAAAATTATTTAAATTTGGGATAAATTAGTTTATGTTTTATTACTCATGAAAATTTGATTCATATTTTCAGCAATGTTTAATAATCAAAAGCTTTCTCTTTTATTAAAAATATATGAGCTTCAAGATACTTTTTAAAAATAAAGGGGCATTATATTACAGAGAAGCATCTCAAATGCTCAGATGCGGTGTTATAGTGTAGATCACAAGATCATGCATTATTTGACCCCAAAATTGTTGATACCCCAGTCAGTTATTATAATACGTGATCTGCATGATCATACTATAAAAAATTATTATTCAAACAAATTAAAAAGAATTAAATAGGAAAACAAAATTAATTAATTAATTATATAAAAGAAAAAAACTCTATTCTCAAATATTGTTATACCAATTAGATTCTTTATAATATCTTAAATACCAAATTATTATACCCAATATACCAGCTATCAGGAAAAAAGAAAAAATTGACATTAATTGATTATATCTTTTCCATTGAAAATCCGCGGTAGTTTTTGGGTGTCGAGGAAAAATGGATCCAAACCACCAAAGTGGTGCAAATAAAAATCCCATCGTAAATAAAACTGAACCAAAGGGACATACAATAAATGGTTCTTGTACGTAATATAATGCCCTTTGTGGTAACGTATAAAAACTTGTTGTAGAAAGTCTTTTAATTGAAGGAAAAGAAGTTTTACTACGACTCCATGGAGATTTTTGAGAATTGCTTTTCCTACTACTGTTATTATTGTCATCAGGTGACCCAACACCAGCAGCTGCGGAGGTTAAAGGATCCGGTATTATTATGTCTGAATCATCTGTTCTATCTTGTAGAAGATTATCTCTATTACTATCTGATGGAGGAGAATAATATACATAAGTCCAGGATGGCCATGAGCCTCCAGATGATGCTTGCGAAGCTCTTTTATCATCTGACTCTTGCACCGATATATCAACATTGTTTATCTTTGCTTTTTTCAAAGGTAATAAAGGAGCTACGAATTCTCTAGATATATTGTTCAAATTAAGATCATTTGGGGTCGCCGGAATTTGTGAATTTGAATCTTCAACATTGGGCGACGTCCTATTCTGTATTTTGTATTCTTCTATATTTAATATTGTTGGACTTATAACAGGTGAATTTGACTTATCATATTTCAAATAGGAGCCAATTTCATTGTATTCTTTACCTTTTATCTATGTAAGAAACCATCAGAAACGTTTAATTAATGAATTTAACAACAAAAATTTTACAATTAATTTACCAAATTTTCAGCAACTCGATACTGCCAGCTTTCTGGCTCATAATAAATTGGAGAATAAGTTGCGGAAGGGGGATTGATTGTTCGAAATAAGGGGACCCGCCCCGAAGCTGAAGTTCTTCTTTGTAGAGGCACGGTGATTTTTTTTTTGTAACCTTAAAAAAACGGCAAAAAAAGTAGTGCCAAAAGAAAAGTAATAATTTTGGGTGATAGAATAGAGGACACAAAAAATGTATTAAACAAAAAAAAAAAAAAAAAAATTCTTGGTTCCCCGAGTATAAAATTATGGAAAATTTTTAAAGGAACTTGCAGGTTTGTTTTGAAATAAATGAGTGGAAAAGCCAGATATAATTGAAAAAAGGAAGATGGCATATTTCTCGAATCTAGATATTTATTTTGGAAATACATTTACGTCACTTAGTCAAAATGTAACACGGGACATTCTGTTTACGTTGAATTTATTAATTCATTTTTGAAGTCGTGCAACTTTAGCAAAGATCATTTAATATTACCTAATATAAAAATAAATTTAATTCCCGATTAGTTTTTTTTTTTTGTTGACTTCTCAAAGTTCTAAAACTACAAAGATGTCTATTGGGGTACCTATTAAATTACTTCATGAAGCTCAGGGACACGTCGTAACATTAGAATTAAACAATGGAACGGTTTACAGAGGAAAATTATCTGAAGGTAAAAATTTTTTGGTTTGTAAAAGAATATTGTAACTTTATGACAGATCTAAACTTTTTCGAAAAATTTATTAGCTGAAGACAATATGAACGTGCAGCTTCGTGAAATTACCGTTACTGCAAGGGATGGGCGCGTATCTCAATTGGATCAAGTTTATATTAGAGGTTCACATGTTAGATTCTTTATTGTGCCGGATATGTTAAAGAATGCTCCAATGTTTAAGAAGATCGGTCCGAATGCTATGAAAGGTAGAGGTATAGGAATGGGTAGAGGTAAAGCTACTGTCGCGAGAGCTCAAGGTACGTGCAATTTAATGTAAAAATGACTATTTGATTTTATTTGACAAATATTTTTATTTTAGCTCGTGGCGGAAGAGGAAGAGCAGGATTCCGTGGTGTAACTCGTGGCCGTGGACGTTCCCAATAATGGAATAAATATTAAAAAAATTATAAAAGATGATTCTTGAATTATTAGCTTATATGAACGTTCAAATTATGGTATAAAAAAGTTTTTGTTTTTTTGATCTGTTGTATTTTAAATTAGTGCAGCAAACAGAATTGAGTTTAAGGTAGGTTTTGACGGGATATTTCTTTTCGTTTCGCATTTCTTATTATAAACACTCATTCAATTTGTTCAAGATAGATTCACGGTTTTTAATAGATCTATTTTTTACATTTTGGATTCTTATATTAATTAAATACTGGTTTATACCGATAAGAAATATATTAATACAAATAAATTAGATGTCAATTCTTTTTAGATAGAATATTAGTAAGTTACTTTCTGGGATAAAAACTTTGAGGAAAAGAGGATAGTATAAATTTAAATTTAAAATCGGTTCAATTCTCTATCGAAATCATTTTTCTATACTAAAAAGCAAATTCAGAAAGAATTATATTAATGAAAGTGGAAAGAAAATTGGATTTTCAATTGTTCTTTACGTTTTCTCCATTTTTGGATATCTTTCTTTGTTCTGCGAGGTCAATACTAGCCAACCTTTTACTAGCACCAGCTAATTGAATTACATTAATTATTTGTTTTCCAGCACAAACAGGAAATGAAAAAAAAGCAATTAATCGAATTATAAAATTCAGCCCCGGTGCTATATATTTAATGATAGAATAATTAGCGTCAAAAATAAAAAATTTCGAATCCCTAAATTGATAGCTTTGATAGTAAATAAATTACCTATGTCTTCGTGGTTAAATGATAAAAGATACAATGCAACAAAAAATAATTCATTTAGTGCACAGAAGATAAAAAGAACCACCTATAAAATATTATTTATCTATTAAAAAAGAGAAAAGGAAAAAGAAAAAACTAACCACATACATAAAAACCTACATTATTAGAATAATAAGCACGTAAAATAGAATTTGAAGATTTATCAATATTTTTATGGCTCGAAGAACCTGATGTCATTGAGCTAAATAAAATTGTAATAAAGATCAGTCTAGATAATTAATTATGATAAATTTTTCGAGCAAGTTATGCGAATTATTTTACCTATACATATGCATATAATGACTGCTAAGATCCAAAGAGATTAATAATTGAAATAAAATTGTCCATGAAGAATACTTTGTAGCAAGGAAACACAATAGACAAGAAGTTGTTGATCTGTCTGTTACCATATCTAAGACGACTCCAAACTCACTACCTATTATACGAATATAATATCAATTAAAGAATTTCAATTGAATAATTATAAATCAGAAGGAAATACGCACATTGATCAAAATATCTTGCCGCATTTCCATCTACAGCATCTAACAAACAAGAAAATGTATAAAGACCCATACAAGTCCATGGCTTATTTGGCATATAATACAATGAGAGTATCGCAAGAATGACCCGAATAAAGCCTATTTATCACATAAATATTAAATTTTTAAGCCTGATTAAGAAATTTATTAATGTAAAATAAAAATATTAAGAGTTTGTCGCGATAAAAACAACGATGCAAAAAAAACTAAAAGAAACGTTTGATACAAAATAAAAATACTAAATAAATAGCAAAAAATAGGATTCCATAATGCATACCTATAATGTTTGGTATAAATAAGAAAACATTTTTTACTTCTTGTATTTTAGGTGATGGTGGAAGTGGTTCAAGTTGCTGTTTAATTTTATGTGCCATTTTTCGTTATACAAAGTTTTTCACAGGAAATGAATGAAAAGAAGTCAAGAATACTTTTGATTAAATCTCTCTTTCGCAAATTGGGAAGAAACCCTACCCAAGGATTTACTCAAGTAAGTATTTAAAGAGGACTCATTTTTTCAGATTTGCATTGTTTGAACAGTAATTTATGTCAGTTTATGATTGGATGAACTATAATTGGCTGATAAATGAATCTCACGTGATTAGAGTATCTGTCGATTAGATCGACTTTAATGAACGCATTTTATGGTTTAAGCAATTAAGCAAATATAGATTTATGATAATCTAAAAATTATTGTATTTAATAATCATTCCATAATTCATAATGATTTTTGGGAAGGTGTTCGTGCTCATGGTCTGTCAGCGCTCTTCCTAACTGAAGCCCAAGAGCAAAGGCAATATTTCTCGGAACACTATTACCTATTAAATTATTACAATGAAAAAAAATCAAACATTAATATTCATTTCGCACTCGGTTAAAAAGATAAAAAAGATAAAAATTCTAAACAATTAAAATTAAACCATTAAAATACAGTACTTACCAACCACTTTATATTGATCGGCTATGTTACCACATAGAATATCTGTTTCGAGAAAACCTAAGGTATTAATAAAATAATTAATGCTATTATTATCATTCTCACATTTACCACCACGGATCATCTTACCACACCAACCCTCGGCTATATGTTTACGGTAACATAAGTTACATCCGAAATGATATGACAGAGATCAGACTACTCAAAAAAACGTCGCTGAGATAAATATAAACAACGCGGCCATCACGTGAACGGTGATGGTTAGAAAATTGCACCTTTCCGAGGGTTGTGCGGTAAGATTATTCATACTATTAAATTCAAATGATAAAAATCATTTACCTTGAGCTCTTGCGGCCTCTCGAACACTTATGACCCTAGGTTCTTCGAAGTGCACGATTCTTGGATGCTAATAGAAAAAATAAATAAATAGTTAATTAAATATTTGAATAATTTCTGTCAAATGTAAATTCACTATGTTTAAATTCATAAGTACTTACAAAGCCGTTACATCCTTATTGTCAAACACGTGAAGGAAAAAAAAAGTTTATTATTTAATTTAAACTATAAAATAATAAATAAAAAACCTACTCATTGAGGTACATATAGTTGAGAATACGTCATCTTTTTCAATACGCTGGCAGAATTTATACTTTTCTCCGCCGAAATGATTCACGCGTTTTGAATCATATTCTTCCTTCCTAAGTCTATCGGGTATCATTCCCCTATCTAGAGCTGAATAATAGTCTGATCCAGGAGGGTAAGTGGGGATCCTCCTTAGGATCTCCTTGATCTTATAACTATTAATAGTAGCAACGTGGTCCGGATAGATAGGATACCAGTAGTTTCCGGTATCTAACTTTGGAAGGTCATAAGTAATTTCTCCAACCGTATTCATCGTAAAGCTTGTCATAGATACGTTAGACAAACCTTCTAAGCTAAAAAAAAAAAAAAAATTACGTTAAATTCGTTGTAAAATGTTCCAAGTCATAATACACCATAGATTACCTTGTGCTATTTCCTAAATTAAACAAATTTCGATACGATTTAAAAAAAAAGTTGGAATGCATATGTGAAACTGGTGGATGGCCCGGTAAAACTTCACCATGTGCTATTTATGCATAAATAAGTAAATAAATTATAAAAATTTGATTTTAGAAAAAAATTTACCTGCAGCCCAAAGAAAAATACGATTTCTTTCTTGAGCACAACCTTGTTGTATGGCTGAAATTAGACCAACTTTAATTTGATACCCAATTTCAAGTAAGCATCCTATCAACCTAAAAAATACTGTTTATGAAAATGAAGACTTGTTAAATCGAGCAAATACATGATGAAAAATTATGTTTAATCTTACCAAGTTTACGATAAATAGTTGCTACATTCTCAAGTAGTAAAAATCGTGGCCGATAAAAATCGACAAATGATGCAACGGAAGCAACTAATGAATTATTAGTCATGCTTCTATCAGTATCCTGGTGTTTGTTTATGCGCGAAAAACCCTGACAAGGCGATCCTGCCAACATTATATCAACCTCACCCTATTTTAAATAATAAGATATATTGATACATAACTTTAGAATTACTAAGATAAAACCAAAAATATGCACCTTATTTGGTAAATTCTGATTATTTTTATTTTTCATAGCGTTGGCGAGAATTTTATTAACACTTTCGTTAATAAGCACAACATCCCCTTGTTTAGAATTATGCATATAAGTTTTCATAGCAGTTTCATTGGTATCTATCGCCCTTAATAGATTGAATTATGATTATCACCGTTACTTTTAATATGAAAAATAAAATAGGAAAAAAGGAAACAAAACAAATTACCATTTGCACTCTACAAATCCTGCGTCTTCGAATCCTCTTCCCAACGAACCACCCCCGCAAAAAAGATCAAGACACTTTAATTTGGTACACGGCTCAACTTTGTAGTACCAATCCGGGAAAATTTTAGAGAAATATTCCATCATATTTGAATCAGGATTTTTTATTGTTTTTGTTCTTCGAAAGTATATTTTCGAAAAATAGAACTATGAAAACAATATTAAAATAAATAGATTATTCGCTATTAAATTACCGCCATAAACACTTACGTGTTCCCCAGTACCACGATGAAGCAAGTTGACAGGTTTTTCTTCACCAAGCGGTAAAAATTCAACATGGCAACTTCGAACAACATCGTGAAATCTATCAAAATTGAATAAATAATCCGAAAATAATAGTTCATTTTTTGCTGTACCATATTTTTTCTGTGACAATTCTGTTAGCCTATAAAAGCGTCGGAGAGTTACATAACCCTCTTCCTCATTAATACTCTCGATCTTGCAAACAGTATAAAGTTCTTTGATATCTCCTTCGAATGGTTTTATTAAAATGCAATCATCACGTTCATATTTCTTTCTAAAAATTGCAAATTTGTCATCATTATCTCCACAGCCACAGCAAAGTCCGTCTTCTTCGTTTGGATAGGTCATGACTTCATGGAACGTGATAAAACTTCCTTCTTTCGCCATTGGAAGATAAGCATACTTACAAAAGAAAACATTTTCATTGTTTGATTCTATAAATAAAAAAATTAGATACTTGAAATACGTATACCATATTTATTATCTATATGTAAAAGAAAACTAGATTACCAGGACATTTAGATTTCCCAAAATGCACTAAAATCTTTCTCTTAATACGACTAATTGGCCAAAATTTAACACATTCACAGTGTAAAGTAAAAAATAGCTCTTTTGACTTATTCGAAAATAAATCTTTATCCAAATTCTGAAGAAGCGTGTCTTTTCTTGAATAGAGCCACACGAATTTAATAGCACCACTGTTGTTAACTTTTGTGATTTCGGTAATATAACTTTTTTTTTTTTTAGAAAAGCAAATAAGTTAATTTCTCATGAAGTTTCAGTTCTTTTAAAACGAAATATTACCATATCCAGCGAACATCTGGCCCAACAGAATCATCGGGATAAATTTCACAACAATCTCCAACGTTAATCACAACATCATCAATTTGCACCCGATTATAATTTTTCTTACTCTTCGAGATTAACCCTCGGAAAATCGGAACTCCTTTGTGCTTGAGTTCTTTATATTCCCTTATATTACATCCTACATTCTTTGATGGACTACCTTTCAATTCATCACAATTGTCCGGTTCTAAAACACAAATTTATTATATATTATACTATAAATTAATTGGAAAAAAGATTTAAATTAATATCTATACCTATCACATTCAGAAGGTTTGGAAATAAGTCATTAAACCATTTGTATACGGTTGGCGTGACTGTAGTTTTTTCCAAGTTCTTGCCAATAGTCTTTATCGATATTTTAACATTCAAAGTTAGCATAAATATTAAGAAATGTTATCATAAGCTGAAAAGGTAATAATAATTTACACTAGTATTGGAAGAATATCTTCCTGGACTCCATTCGTCTAAAAATTTCAAATGTCAATTTGTTAATAATGAATTAATTTATCTTTAATAAATTCATGTTACCTTGAAAAAATGGCTTTTCGGAATAATCTGGACCGAGAAAATAAGCCTCATGCCAAATTAAATACATGTTATTAATCACGAGATGCCTAAAATCTCGCGTTTGAGGATTTAATTTAGAAATCCATTCTTCATAAAACGGGTCTCCACTACGAGAGTTGTGAATCCAATTATAAAATTGTAATTCCAAATCCTTAAATAGCACTGACGGATTCGTATGAATCCAATCCAATACGTATTTAGTCAGATATACCCTCCACACAAAACTCTTCCAAATTTGAGCGTATTCTGGTAAAGTTGACACGACTTTATACCAAAGATTTTCGCGAACAGAAGATTCAAACCAAATTATGATTTCATTATGATTAACACCATATCCTTCTATAGTGAATTTTTTATAATTTACCTATTAAATATATATTAACACTTATTAAGCTTTAAAATATGATAAAAGTTAAGGAAAAAGATAAATAATTTACCCCCACGCATGTAATCCTTTTATCACCTTCAACAAGTATCCCATCCCAATACAATTCAGAACTACGGAAATCATATTCTACCCAAAAATCGACAATCTAAATACATTAATAATAGTAAGAATAAGTAAACAAATATTTTTATTATTATTATAATTATTATTAAATTAAATTTAAACGAACCTCGCCATTTTTATCGTAAACAACGAAATTTTCGATACTGAAATACTCTGTATCATCGTCACTCATAGTATCACTTACTGTAGAATCGGCCTTTACAACAAGAATAATGAATCAAAATGAATTGGTTTTTAATCATTATTATTTCTCATACTCACCATTAGGAAGTTAATGCATTGTTCCTCAGTAAATCTTTCTGTGACTTCATCCAGATCTTTATAAGCAGTTCGCACCTTTTTCAGCGCGGGGACTTCTACAAAAACCTATTTTATGGTATAAATATCAATTTATTCAAAATCACTGATAATTTTCCTCCAACGAGATTATAATAATTTAACGTAGATACATTTGGTCCATTTGTCTTTGATTTAACTGATACAGAAAATTTATTCAGTTTAGGCAATTCAGGATCATATTCAAAAGAAGGCCCAATATCATCGATCGTAAATGTTTGATCATCCCCAATAAGCGAATGTGATTGACCTAACTTTGCATCATGACCATTCACATCCTAGAAAGAAGTTAAATTAAATACGTTATACAAGATTCAACTTATTGTTGATTATTAAAATATTGTAAGTGCTATGAATAATACTTTCTGAATCAAATATAATTTCTGCTAATTTGATAGACACGCTCTTAAATCAACAAAAACAATACATTACCTGACATGGAACACGTGAAGTACAAGGTACAGCGACTCTGGAGGTTTCTCCACGAGTCTCAGGATCGTTTAGATGCAACATTCTCTAGAAAAAAAAACTTATCATTAATTCATAAATATTTAACGCGTTTATTACCATCATGGGATGTAATAATATAAACCTGCTCGTCTTTAACAAGGTAATGAAGAAATAAAGCGTAAAAACGAAAGAAACAAACGGTTTGAGATCCACCGCCTTTATAAGGTTAGATCCACACGAATATAGTAATGATAGTAATGTTTACGCGTTTTTATTAACTACTATAATTGGTATAATTTAATTTAATCATTCAATCCAATATCGAATTACATAAGCTACAAACACGCGACACCAAAAGACGAATATTTATCATCAATTCGAAAATAAATTGGCTCGAAATTTATTATGTAATTTTTAAATAATTAAATTCTTTATAATGTCTATATAAGTACTATTCTGGTCGACCAAAACCTCTTGACATTTTCTTTACATAAGCGTTCTTTTGGTTGTGATTATTTTTATATTTATGTCGCGAATACGTAGAAACATTACTAGCGTCGGAATTACGCGAAAACTGTTCTCCACTTCCGCCTCTTCCCCTGCCTCTACCTCTGCCTCTACTTCCGCCCCTTCCTCTAGGTCCGCCTCTAAATTGATTATAACTTCCTTGTCGAGGTGATCTAGAAGAACTCTCGTCAGAAACGTTTGAAAATAATTCTTCTTGTTTGCCATTCCATTCATATTTCGAAAGCAACTTATCTTTTCTTGGCTATAGAAACAAAATAATGATTAATATAAATATTCAAATGTAAATAAATGGCTCGAATTATTACGCTTTAAAGATACTTGCGTTTCTCTGAAACATAATATACCATCCCTCTATCTGTTCATCGGTCATCTTAGTAATTTTCCTGAGTTGAGCGCGTTTATCTGATTTTCTTACAGCACTTGTCCTATCAAATACTGATGGATCAGATTGATACATTTTGATAAGCTTTTCTTCATGCATAATACCAGGGTCAATCTTTAGTAACGAAAGAAACATATTAGTATGCATTTTTTTTCGTATAAATTTATAACTAATTACCTCCGTCTTATCACGCGAACTAGTACCCAATTCATCTATCTCATCAACCGTACGAAGATCTATTCCGCGCATATTCAAACCGCTAGTGTCGTATGTATCATCATATTCATCTTCATACATAGTATTGTAAGCCATATTCACCATCGACTCCTTATTGGATTCAATAAATGATTTATCATCTAACAATTTATCAGCTGTACCACGACTTAATGAAAGGAAAATAACAAATAAATAAATTTAAAAAATATATGGATAATTAGATAATAAGATAAAGCAACAAACTTCTTCTTTCCTCTGTGAATTCGAGATGTGTCAAGAATTTTTCCTGAAAACACATCGAATTCATCATTATCAAATATATTCCTACGCTGAGCAAGTAAATCATCATCTAAAAAAAAAAAGCTTGAGTATTATCAAAAAAAAAAAAAATTACAATATACTAATATATTTCTAACCATTCGGATTTTCAACCGCTTCTACTTCACTAAAAGATAACGGAATTTAGTTAATTTCGCCAAAAGCATAAAAATCTCAAAAAACTATAATATACCGTGGTAACGTATGATCCATTGATGCTAAATGCTCAGGAAGTGATTGTGTCAATAACCGATCTATTACGGTTTCCACGTTATTGTCATAGGTAGACAAACATGCTTCAATAAAGCCTTCTCCTAAATCGGGAAAGACTTCTTGTACTTGTGAAATCAGAGACATTAAGTACATTTCATTATCATTAATTTCATTTTCATCAATTCCATTATGATTAATCCCATTGGACTAATTCAGAAAATAACCATAAGTTATTATTAAATTATTTACTATTAAATTTGTAAATATGAATTTAGAACTTAATTATTCTACCTTAACTTCACCAGTAGGATACTCTTCAGCGGTAGCACCATTTGACATGCGTGAATTATATCGTTTTTGCTTTTGTTTTAATCGCATATTCCACGTATCCTTTTCAGTTTCTTGGTTCATAAGTCTCATGGACTCCAAAGACTTAATTATATAATCAACTTGAACATCATCAGTGTGAAAAATTCAGGATTATAATAAATAGATGATTTTATGCGTTAGACGTCATGAAAAAAAACATACATATATGTATATATTAAAAGGATATCCATCACTAATTTCATTTTTTATTTTGGTCAATTTTCCATTTAAATCGAATTCAATCTCCATATCCAGAATTAAAGGAGCATCAACAAAACATTGTACAGGTTTCTCTAATGGTGAGAGCTCAATCATATACATTAACATATCATTCATCTTTGCTAATATGTCTTTAATTTTATCATCATTCAAATTTTCATCACATTTAATGAATGAAAAATTATCCCCTTCAATGGATGCAAATCCCAGAGGGTTGAAATAACATGCATCTAAAGTATGATACGCTAATGAAACTGAAACATGCTTTAATATGTTTAGATCATTTAGTTCATTTTCAGAAATAAGCTTTGATATTAATGGTATTGTTTCGTCATAAAATGTTTTTATTTTCAGTAAAAAACTTTCATCATCCTTATCGTTGAATATGTTTACTACAGGTTTAAAAACAGTAAACAAACAATCTAAAGTAATAAAAATATCTGAAATGAAACTCAAATAAACTTTTGCATCATGAATATTTGAATCAAAATTAACATCTTCACCCTCATAAACTTTCTCACCCATCTCTACAAACTTGTCTTTAATTGCTTTAATATAATTAATCACAGTAGTTGAATGAATTTCGAAATCTTGCATCAATTTCGGAACCGAATCAATTATATTATCCAAAATTTTTTTGGTATGAGTAAAGTTAGATTTTCCATAAGTTATAGCTAGGTCAAGCAATAATGGGACTGAAATCACATTTTTAGTGTAAAGATCATCCACTAGCGTTGTTGAATTTTCAGGTTGATCTGAAGAAATCTTTGATGCTTCCGATACGCGCAACAAAATAGCCAACACCTTTTTTTCTAATTCAATTTCTCTTTTATCATTATGTTTAACGTTATGAGATCTAGCACGAGTTCCAAGAAAAGTTCCGAGAAACTCGTGAAGGGATTCGTTTTGTAACATTTGATTACAGAAAGCTGCATCCTGAAGCCTTAGAAGTAATGATAGATTTGTATCCCAAACATTAATTGCTTCCGTCCAATTTTGCTCTGTAAAGTTTTGAGATTCAGGATCTTCAACATAAGGTGGAAAAATTAACTTTTTAATATTGACTGTGATCATTTTTCCAAAAAAATTTCTCTTTTTATATATAAATAAAATTCCCGGCTTAAAATTTACAAATTTAATTTTTTTTACCCGAGAATCACCCTTTTTGGACTGATCACCCTTTAAATATAGTCTATTATTTATCCATAATATATATTTAAAATAAAGATTTGTTCCGATTTTTAAATAAAATATATCCACAGATTCATTCCAAAAAGGGTGATTCTATATTAGGAGAAAGAAAAATATAAATTGCTGTATATCAATTGGATTGTAACACATACTATATATATTGATCAAACAACAATTATGAATATATAAAAAAAGAAACGATGCCACTTTTTACCGTCTTTTGATATATTCAATATGCGCCTACCTTTATTATTTTTCTTATTATTTTTACTAGTTATCTTGCCTTCATTTCTCTATTTGAATTATTCAGTCATACAAACAAGAGAAGAAGCGATTACTTTAATACCTGAAATTGATAACAATGTTGTTAAAGGTCCAGTTGTAATGCCTCAATTGAAGAATTCAACTATAAAGTAATTTACAATTTATTATCATAATTCTTGTTTCGTTAAATGTTGCAACTTATTTCTAGTTCTGAATATTATTGATTTGATTAAAAGGGCCGAACTTGGGCAGAGTAGTTGGAAGGTAATAATTAAATTTTGTTTTTTTCAATTATTATTACTATTCAGTTCATTTTTGATCTTTTGTTAGTTACTTCATACTATGATGGCAAGATTTCCAGAACGTCCTACACAAGATGAAAAAGAAGCGCTTAGAAGCTTCATATATCTATTCAGTAGATTATATCCATGTGGTGAATGGTAAAAATCGTATCATTTGTTTAACCTTTTTACTGATCTAATCAAATATTATTTTAATATTAAAATTATAGTGCAGCAGAATTTCAAGCTATTCTTGCGAAACATCCACCACAAGTATCTTCAAGAGAAGCAGCATCTCAATGGGCTTGTGCTGTACATAATATTGTTAATCAAAGATTACAAAAAGAAATATTCGATTGTGGAAAAATTGCTGAAAAATATAAGTGTGGTTGTTGATGAATATTTATTAATATATAAATATTATAATAAAATAATGGTAATATAATAATAATTTAGTACTTAAATTTAGCATATTAATAATTTATACATGTTCGATTAACCTTATTATACAGATAATTAATCTAACTTATAATTTACTTTTATTTTGTGTCAAAATATCATCTAACATAAATTTAATATATTCTTTTCTTGAAGGTTGACCTTCAATTATTTCCTCCCAATCAACATTTTGTATATTAAAAGCAATTTTAGCTACTTCAACACAAATGCTAGCACTAAAACCCATCACACTCTGATTTTTCCATACAAAATGATGAACCCTATATAACCGATTATTCCACAAACTATCAAATGATAAATGATATTCTTTTGATATAAATGCTCTCAGTGGAACAGTAAAACATTCTGAAACTTCTGATGGATTTGGTATAGGTTTATAAAATGGATTTGTTATTAATGCTGCAACCGGCGTAACTAGCAACTTATGTTTTGACCTAATAATATATATATATTACATCATTTATAAATTAAAAAATATTTGTTGCTTGTAAGTAATACTTACAAGAATGGTTCAAAATAGGTTAAATATTCAGCATCATCGGGTTTTATTCCAACTTCTTCTTCGGCCTCTCTAAACTATTTAAATTATACAAATAAGCTATAAATTTTAATTAAAAATTATTATGTAAAACTTACTGCGGTAGCAATTATACTTTCATCATTTTCATCAACTTTACCTGAAAAAAAAAAACGTAAAATAAATTAAAATCAAAACTAAAAAAAAAATGGATATTCAAAAAATTAATCAACCTCCTGGTAATGCGACTTCCCCGGCATGACTTGATAAACCTGTTGAACGTATTGTAAGTAAAATTTCTAATTCATTATCATTAATAATTAATGGTACAAGTACTGCAGCTCTTTTTACATATGGTACATCTAAATAATCATTCTTTGGTTTATAGTTTCGAAGATTGTTGAGACATTCCTCTGCTGAAATTAATTTTGCCATTATATAAAATCAAAATACGTATTCCCAAATTTCCAATTCATTTATTGCTGTCCTACATACTCATAGAAATAAAGCACGTGAAGTCCCAATATAGAATGGATTTATTAAACTTTTATTATATACGTAATAATACAGTAAGAAATTTTGTCATTTAAATTGGCATTATACATTTGTTAAAATTTTTTAAATTAAACTTTAATCATTAAATACTCAAGATTCTCCAAAAAAATTTTCGGAAACTTCTTGAACATAATTACCAAACCAAAATTTGTCAGAAGGTTTTTTCCTCCTATTTCCTAAAATTTCTTCGGAAGTTTTAGCAATCCGCAACAACGTTGCTTCATCATACCACTTGGCAATAAATTGTAATCCAATTGGTAAATTATTATCATCATACCCAGCTGGTACAGAAACAGCAGGAACCCCGGCAAAATTCGCCAATTGAACAAATCTCATTATATCAGATATCATAGTTACATCTACTTCACCATGTGCCAATGCACGTGGGTAAATTTTTGGAGCGGTAATGGCAGTTGCAGGAGTCAAAATTAGATCAACTTGATTACTGAAAAGGTTATTAAGTGTACGCATAATTCGTGTACGAACTTGTTGGGACACAACTAACAATAATAAAAACATTTTTAAGCTACTAATAAATTATTACGTTTAAAGACTTGCATAATCAACTATAGCTACTCACTATAATCCTTTAAATAAACAAAATAAAAAAAAAATAAATGAATAAATTTCAAACGGGTTTATAAAAAAAAACTTAATGAAACATAAAAGTCATAAAAACTTACTGATGCAGTGGCTAATTTCATTACGTTAATATTTGAACGAGTAGGACATGAAAATAAATGCATCTTATCCTTATGTCTCTTTGCGACAGTGGTAAGTTCAGTACCAATAGTAAGCAAATGTGCTATTCGCGCTTCCTCAAGTTCAGGAATTTTAATCTCAATAATTTTAGCGCCGCGAAGTTTTAATTCGTCAATAAAATTATTTAATGCTGTAGTAATGGCTGGATTATCCACTTGCTTATTCCACATTGAATAAACACCAATTTTCAAGTCACTTAACTTATTAGTAACGTGAAATCCATGTAATGTGGGCAAAGGCTGATGCAAAGTATTGGGGTCCTTTTATAATTGAAGAATTAAAGTCGTCAAAATAATTTGTGGAATAAAGTTTGATACTATAAATTTCGAACCTTTGGATCTTTTCCAGCCATGACATAATATGCTAACGCTAAATCGTCCACACTTGCAGCCATGGGGCCTGATACGGCAACTGAATGCGCAAGCGGATCTATTAAATAACATTTTGTGTTGCATTAAGAAATGCTGAATATCAATATTTTACTGAACAAAATAACTTACATTGGCCATCATCAGAAAACCTTCCACAAGTTGTTTTTAGACCATAAATACCACAAAAAGATGAAGGTATTCTAAATGATAACAAATCTTTAATAAATACATTCATTAAAGAAAATCATTAGTTTATCACTTTATATTGAACAACCTGACAGAACCTCCACCATCACGTCCAATGGCTATTGGGCATAATCCGGAGGCAACAGCAACACCGCTACCTCCACTCGATCCGCCAGGATAATAATCAGTATTATAGGGATTTCGTGGTGTACATACAAATGGATTATTATTTGTAGAACTAGATATTTTAAGAAGTTCAATATCATCGATCCTTCATATAAAAAAAAAAATAATACTTTTAAAATGAAAACAGTTTACCCAAATCCGATTTCATGCATTGAAGTTTTCCCGAGAATAATTGCACCTTTCTCTCTTAGTCTTTCTATGATGGTAGCATCACTAGTAGCTGGATTTCCATAATTTATAAACTTGGTACCAACATTAGTTTCATAACCTTTGACATCAATCTCATCCTTAACTGCTATCGGGATGCCATCAAGCAGACCCAACGAACTATTATTAGCGTATCGTTCCGTCGATGCAGTAGCTTGCGCGATGATATCATCGCGTTTGTATTTAATAATGGCATTAAGTGGAGGACTACATTTCTTAAGCGATTCCTCAATTTTGTTTATAAGCACTTCGCATACCTATAATGAAATGAACAATTTAGAATGCCCACGTCATAACACTTAATTCAACAATAAAAATACTTACTTGTAGAGGAGTGACTCTTTTAGCAAGATATGCTTCATGAAAATCGCTTGCACGTAAAAATCCCGAGGAATAATAATCTTTCTGTTGCAAGTTCTTTTGTTTCTCAAAAATTTCTAAGCCATCAACTGTCTTTTATAATGTTTCGAAATTTTAATAACTTAAATGTTAATTTTATTTCATAATTGAACGAACCTTTGTTTCCACAATTCCAAATGTTTCTTTTGGTAGAGGAAGTGGTATAAGTGTCGGACAGTCATCAATGCTTAACTTCCGCAATGCCTTAAGTCCTGCGTTCCAAAATAAGTATCTAGTAACGCCTGGCATATAATCCATCAAGAAAATCATAATTCGTAGAATAAATCCGCTTAAATATGGAGCTTTGAGCCGACGAGTAACCTAAATAATCGGAGAGAGATCAATAATCGTTATATAAACAATACTATAAAAAAACTAATCAATAAATTCTTTACCACATGTTCCGTATGTTTCGTACTTTCTTCGTTTTTCGGGAGCTGTTCTGAGGAAGACATTTTTCAATTCAAGCGAAATTTTCAGAGCATCTTTGATTATAAGGAACTATTTGTTACACCACATGATCAAAGTCGATTATCTCAAATTGAACTTCCAATTTAGGAAATTTTAGGATAAACTAAGCCCTGGGAATTTTTTAACTGCAACTCCGATGATGGAACTAAACTGAACCCTTTTTCAAACTCAAATAAATTAATATGTCTAAAAGATCCCAACGTGAAAGTTATTCTTTAGACCAAAATAAAAACGATCCCCTCGAACCATCAAGTTCAAAAAGAGTTCGTTTTCATACATCCAATGATTCTACAGTTGCTTCAGCTGCGAATGAGGAGGGTGAGTATGAATTTGATCATGAAGACTCCTTAGAAAAAGCTAAAACACGTCGCGGTTCAGTTAAACTTCAAGGATATGCAAGTGATGAAACAGATACCAGTGATGACGACGGCACAGCTCTCTTTAACCGTCGAAAAGAAAATATAGCTGAAGATGTTGACGATATGTTTGCAGATGATGATATACCTAAACAAGAAAATTCAAAAGACTTAGATGGAAAGAAAAAGGTTAGATACTTAGAATTGGATGAAATTGAAGGTCAGGAATATACATCCAAGGATGCATATGATGAGGAATCTGGAGAAACAATAATTGAAGCTTTTAATATGAAAGCTGAGATGGAGGAAGGTAGATTTGACGAAGCAGGGAATTATATTCGCAATAAAAAGGATCCAAATGCTTTTCATGATAATTGGCTTCAAGGTGTTTCACGTAAAGACATTGAAAAAGCTAAACGTGCCCATGAAAAGCAAGAACAAGAGAGAAAGCTTAAAGAAGCAGAAGAAGCGTCAAAAGGACCATTGGATCGTTTATCAATATGGAAGGAACTTTTAACAATTATGAAGCGAGGTGAAACGTTATTAGATGCCTTACAAAGGTTAGGTGGAAAACTTAATAATAAAGGAAAAAATAAACGCGGACAAAAACAATATAAGAGGAAGAAAGGCAAAACAGATGAAGAAACTGAAATGGTAATTGACAAAGAACTTACGTCTGAAGAAATTATAGAACAAGAATGCAAGAAACAAATAGAACGACTTACTGATTTATCTGATAAAATGATGGCGCTGGGACATTTTAATGTTTATGATGATACATGGGAACAAATTTTAAGGAATTTGAAGAGAGAGGGAATAGTTCCAGAAGATTGGGTGCCATCAAGTATTGAAGAAAATGTCGAAGATAATAGAGATAATACATTAAATGTTTCTTATAATGAAATTTCAAGTAATGTACCGACAAATCTAAGTACGCAACAGTTGTATTGGGAATATAAATGGACTGATTCATCGGGTGCTAATTCTAATGAAATACATGGTCCATTCTCAGGAGAAGATATGAAAGCTTGGAATGACCAAGGATTTTTTGCACAAGGAATTTTATTACGAAGAGCCAATACTGAAGATGAATTTGTTAGTTCCAATGGCATTGATTTTATTGGTTTTAATTGATGAAAGTACAGAATTTTGTAGCATAAATTTCTTTATTTTATGGCCATAGAATAATATTATTTAGTTATGATACTTGCATGAGAAATACTTAAAATTATTGTAAAATAAAACTAGGTAAATACCGTATTATTATAAGACACAATATTACGTTCTAGATGCCGTTTTACATTACTTACAATTTCCGAGAAATGTTTATGAAAAAATTTGGTCAATTATGATCGTTATAATGCCGATTTATAACACCATTTATGTCAATAAAGCCGGACAATATTAATTTTATGTTTTGACCGGAGTATTGCTCATAATTTTTAGCTCCCAATGACATGATGGAAATTGGGTTTTTTAAGCATAGCAGAAAAGCTTTCTAAGATTCCATATCCCGAGGTCACATGTCCATGATAATCATTATGTTCATTGATGAATGGTCTCAGATATGTTTTGACAAAAATTGATCTCTTCTGTTGACGACTATGCTTATTGCTTCAATGAGTAGAGCTTATAATGAATAATGAATATCTACTAACTTAACGCCACGCTTTAAAGCAAGATCAATTTGTCTTGCAAAATAAGGAATTTGAAAGTATTCGATTTCCTGCTGTAAGTCTTGTTCAGATACAAACACTTTGGATGATTTGCAACTACAGGCGTTTCTGTTACTCAAGAGGATTTGATCGCTACGATAGAATTTCGTTATATAATAAAAGCGTAACCATTGCGATCAATAAAGTATTCATTACCGCCAGGATATGTTGGTCAAGCATTGCCGCGTTCGCGGGATCAAACATTTTGGCAAGCAGTTTCCGGATAACCGGTCAAGGTAGTATGAGTAGTAACATACTAAAGCAGCATGAACTTGTAACTTTTCGCATATATATATATACGGTAACTTATGGGAAAGCTACAAAGCTTACCTTGATTCCACCGACATTCAAGATTATTGTATCGCTTGTTTTAACATTTCTTTTATGCGAACTTCTGTACGAGTTTCTGTACAAAGTTTCTCGGAATAGGATTCCCATTTTCCCAACCTTTCATGTTTTTATTGCGAAAGTGTGCTCATTTCTAATATTTCACCAACTATTTATAATAAACTAGGAACTATAAGTTCGAAGGTGCCGTTATTTGTTGTACATTGTCGCCGGACATACATCCGAACATCCTAATAATTAAAGTTCGGTCAGGATATATTTATAGGGGTTTTCTACTCCCACCAAAAAATCGCAGAATCTACCGATCATATCTAAAAATGGATAGATTAATTTATCGGAAATTTTGTTATCAACTAGCTCTTAAAAATCATAATTTATACAAGTTTGATCAAAGTTAAAAGAAAGGTTTTGTATGTCATTTTTTTTTTTTTTGCTGCAGCACATTCAATATTTATTAAAATAATGTAGTAAATCAAACACACATACATGATACAATTTAAAAACTATTTTAACTAATTAAATATTGAACCACTTATCATCCTACAAAAGGATCCTACATGTGCACTGTTAGGTGAATTTTGGACTATGAAAGTAAGTTTGATGTGTAATTGCCCTTTCTTAGAGGGGAACCCCTCCTCTTAGTCTTCATCCTAGGAAAAATTCAACAAGACCTACTGTAACAATAACAAGAAAAAAAAAGAGAATTTTAACAAAAAATATCAGGGTAAAAAAAAGGGTTAATAAATTTTTAGACTAGATAGTGAGTATAGGACCTCGAATAATACTAATATAACTCAAGTAAATTTTAAGTACTGAAGTAAAAATACATTTTATGACATAACTCTGTCAATATTGAAGCTAGGAATTCGATTTTACCATCATTAGAATCCTCTCATTGAGACGAATCTAATGATATAAATTGAATCACTGGTTGTGTTAAAAACAGGGGTATGTAGGATAACAAAATTTTGAAAATTCCTGTAATACACAACTTTTGAAAAATTTTAATATAAACTCTACGTAAACTCAAATGTGAGTTGTATGGAGGATCTACGCAACTCTTTCCCTGATTTTTGAAATTACTAACAAAAAATTATTTTTGAAATTTTAGTTCAAAAATTTCTAAGTGCTCGTCCAAAATACTAATATTTTTCCAGTTGCTTTCCTCTTTACTGAACTTTATACTATGACTACACCTACAGCTCCTTCTGTTATTAACCCAGATATTCTGCCACCGCCACGTCCTGATACTTCTGCTCCTTCTGGAGACCGACCTTTGTCTCCCACTCTTACCGCTGGCGCGCCTAACAAACGTTCGCGTATTGTCTCTAATGACGCTATGAATGTTGATATAACTTCACCCTCTGCTCCTGCTCCCAACCTTATTTCCACCGTTCCTTCTGGCCTTCCTGTTAACAGAGTTCCTGTTATAACTCAACCTCCTCCTACTAATACGTCTTTAGAGTCCTCTATACATGCCCATCCCCTTCCTGTTTCCACTAACCCCTCCCCTAATGATAAAGGTAAATCTGTGACCTTCGACGTACCTCTACACTAACCTTCCCCTGATGGTGATGCTGCTGCCATCAAATCTTCTCCTTCCAGATTCCATGTTGCGGCCTATCTTCACGACGCGCCTGTCGCGTTCAAAGAAAAATTTCCCACTAACCGCACCATATGTGACGAAGTTGACAGAGCCCTCTCCCGATATTCCTCTTATGGCTCACGTGCTCATTGTGAAGGATCAGGAGACAACAAAAGAATCCTTGTCTTTTTCTTTATTCAGGATGATCACACCGCATGCGTCCAATCCCCATGTGCCGATCTTCTTGATCTGGTCTTTGCCCCTACTCGCCTGCAGATGCGCGTCGTAGTGATGAAGAAAAATCTTTGTTTGTTACTGACATTCCCCTTTTCCTTAATGAAACACAAATTAGACAGGCCTTTTCCTGATACGGCGAAGTAGTTAAATGCAAACTTACTACTAGGAATCATTATTATAATGCCCATGTCCAATTCTCCAATGCGAGCTCTGTTACACAATTTAAAGACATTTGGGCGATCATTTGTCTTGGTAACTCCCTACGCGTCTGTCCAGCATTTTATTCGAAAGTCCAACGCGATATCCATAGAGAACATGTTGCCATCCTTGCAGGCATCCCTAAAAATATTAAAGAAGCTGACCTCTCAGAAATTGCCCTGCAAGTCAATGCTAAAGCTGTCAACATCCCTCTCTCTTACAACTCCTATAAACCCAAGTCTTACGCTTACTTGAATTTTTCCTCTTTTGAAAGTCTCGAGGCAGCTAAGGAATTAACAATTGCTTTTCAAAATAAAGGTTTAACCTGGCACTCTCCTGATGAAGCAAAGAATCTCTGTCATGTATGTGGACGACATGGATGCTCTTCTTCGAAATGCAGTCCTCAGCCCGCTCATAAGACTAATGACCATTTGGATAAACTTTACACACGGTTCAATGCTGGCCTTAAATGAGGCTGTCCTGATTCCCGATGATCACAATCCCCTTCAACTTTACGTTCACGATTTAGATCTAATTCACGTTCTCGTAACCGTACTTTTACTGAACGCTCTAACAATCCCAATCGACCCAACTCCAGTCTCTCTCGTGTTCAGCTAACAGCTCGTTCCTCTCGCAATGAGGATACAACTTCTCAACGCAATCCCCATGCTAATGCTCAATCTGGATCTAATGCTGGTCCCTCCTTCACACCCTCCTCTCAACCCAAATCCTTTTTACCTCCGGATGTCATAGAAGATATTAAAAATCAACTCAAGGATATCGCTAAACAGCTTCATGATCTTGACGAAAAAGTTAATTGGATGGAATGTTCCATCACAGACCATGACTATCGTATTAAGGAACTTGAGTCAACGATGAATTATGATGGCTCTCAGGACAATTCCCCCTCCTATACGCCCAACTCTTATTTTAATGACGCCGGTTGGGATTACCATCAGGACATTGATGATAATAACAATAATAACAATAATAATTCTTCCTTTTCACCTATACCTGCCAATCCCAACTTTTCTATCATGGACACCTCTCCTGATGCCTTCTTCTCCACTCTCAATCCTAACTCCATTCTTTCCAGCAGACACGCTCTTTTACCTAATCGTGTCAATCTTAGCGGTTCCCCTAATGATTCAACAAGATTACGTTAAGAAATTTCCTCGGTCTCTTATACTCAACAAAACCTTTCCAATCAACTAGGCTCCATTCTTGAAAAATTAGAGTCCTTTTCTTCCTCAACACCCCCCTCCGCTTCTAAATGATTGAAAACAATTGTATAATGGGTGGCTCACAGGGACTTCACCCCCCTGATAGTGCGTCTAATTTGCAATCTTTATCTCCTTCCTCTTCTACTCAAATTTTTGACATTTTCCCTGATCAATTTAATCGCGAACTTAATTTCTCTAATATTTTACGAATTGGTACTCTTAATGTTTTTTCTTTAGTTCACTCTTCGAAACAATTAAATTTGTTTTCCTTATTGTTTTCCCATCAACTTCATGGTCTAATCCTTACTGAAACTAATCTCTGTTCACCTGCTCACAAATATGTGTGTGAACCTTATCTTTCACAATACTTATTTCACAAATGGTTTTCATTTTCACCTTCTGTCAATCACCATGCAGGTGTTGGCATTATTCTTCACTCTAGTTTAGCTATGTATGTTGTTAGAAAACGGTTTCATAAGGACCGATTAATATCACTTTTTCTCCAGCTACCAGGTCGACAAAATATTTTTATTATTGGAGCTTATATACCTCCTTCGTGGTCTTAATAATAGACTGATTTCTGAATGTCATTCGACCCTTGTATCCTGGATTACTGCAGCGTGTTCCACTGGTGCTCATGTTTTGCTAGGAGGTGACCTGAATGCTGATTTTGATAGTTACCTTAAGAATATTTCAGATCCGACTATCTCATCTCCTATTAATCCCTTGTTTAAATATTTGCACTCCCACCAATTTGATGATTTGTGTGCGTTTGATTCCTCTTCTTTACCGTTACCTACATTTTGATCCTCGAGTTCGAACCACTTATCCCGTTTGGACCTCCCTGCTTTTCCTGCTGCTTATTTGTGGTCCTATGTTTCAGACTCTTCTGATACTTTTAGTACCGATTATTTTTTATTGATTGGTTTTTTTGACTTCCTTAATATTCGTGATTTACGCGCTCTGAGTTATCTAAAACAGCGTTCACATTATCGAACTGAGTTTAATGTTCATACTGCTCTTCCTGAACAAAAGATTCTTTTTACTGCAGAAGTGGATTCTGGACTTAAGAAATTCAAACCTTCTATGGTGATGGTCATCTTAATAATGATTGGCATCGATTGAAATCTGCCTTACTCAATGCTGCTTGTTGTACTTTTCCCAAACGAGTAATTTCTCTGAACAAGCCTCAAGCTATTCCATTTGAACTTAGGCCTATCATTCATCTTAGCCACAAATTGGATCATTACATTAGTTTACTTTTTAAAAATTTTTCAATTTCTAACCTTTACTCTTCCTGGAATCAGTTCTTTCCTTCTTTTTATAATGAATTCATCAATCTGTTTCCTGATCAGAATGCTCTTATCAAAGTCCTTCCTACTCCTATTACACTTTATTCTGTTTTTATTTCTTCGCACCTAGATTTTCTAATATTTTTGAAGAAATTCCGATCCTCTTTACGAACCATAAAAAGATTTATCTCTGGAAAAGTTACTATGGAATTTGATAATCACAAGCAAGCTGCTATGAAAGCCACTATTGCTGAATGGAACTCTAATTTTTATGAAGACAAAGGAAAATTTATCCGCAATTCTTTGAATCGTGAAAAGTGTAGTATCGTCTTGGATCGAGTACTCGTTACTGATATCCCTGGCAACCTCAACTGTTGATTGCATCAGATGATATTCATAAGGCTGCTATCAAACATTTTCAAAATGTAGTTGGTCCTAGTCGATCTCCCTTTAAAACTCTTGATGACCTTCCCGATCGATGGAAAAGTCATTATACTCCTATTCCTTCAATTAATTCAAACATTTACTCGATAGTCATGGCGCCTATTACTGAAGCAGAACTCCTGGCTGTCATTAACAATTCTCCACGCCATAAGGCCTCTGGTCCCTCGTCTATTCCTTATGAATAGTTTAGATTACTATCTTCTGATGCACTCCTTTACTTATGTGATTTAATGAATTCATGTTTAGTGTTCTCAGACATTCCTGAAGACTGGCGTCTGGCTTCCATCGGCCCTATCCCTAAACTCCACGAGTTCGAGTGTCTATTAAAGAATACCCGTCCAATTACTTTATTGGAAACTGCTCGGAAATTATTGGTTAAGATCATTACCGATCGTCTCTCTAGAGTTTTAACTCAACACCAAGTACTCACTGGCGACAACTTTGCTGGACTTCCTGGTTCTTCTGTCAACACCCCTATCAATATACTCGATGGTATTATGAAAAGTCATCGAGTTTCACAAATCCCTCAAGAACTATGGATTTTAAGTCAAGATATCTCCAAAGCGTTTGATTCCATTGATCTGAGCTATACATGCTGCCCAAATTATTTTGGGATGCCATAATTATAATTTGGGATGCCATAATTCATTCGGTTTATATATAATTTACTATGTAAAGTGCCAAAATAATTTGGGATGCCCGATGCCATAATTGAATTTGGGATTTTACTTATAATTACGGCAGTCCAAAATAATTTGGGTGGTATGTATAATCTGAGCATGCTTCGACTCTGCTTTGATCGACTCAAATTTCCTTCCAAACTTTCTGACTTTATAATAAGTTTATTTACTTCTAGAAAAAATAGAATTCTGACTCCTTTTGGCAAAACTGAATCTTATAATCTCTTGATTAATATTGATCAAGGCGAGGTTATTTCTCCACTCCTTTGGACTATTTACTTTGATCCTCTTTTAACGGAGTTATCATCATCAGCCAATTCCCCTTATATATGGAGTTCCGGTATTCCTGCAAATATTCTTAACATCAATAATAATGTAGATGTTGCCGTACCTATTACTCAATTAACCTATATGGATGATTCTACTCTAATCGCCTCTTCTCTGTCTGGCTTAGAGCAACTACTTTCTATTGCTCGTGATTTTTATTTTTTAAATAATATTACTGCAAATTTCTTGAAATATAAGTTAGTCTTTTTGTCAGCTGTTAATAATTTAATATCATTTCATTTGACTTTGGAAATCCCGAATCATCTTTCCTCAATGAGCTTTTCGTTACAGGCTCTGAAATTATCTTCATCCTTTCAGTTTTTGGGTGTTTGGTTCAATTTGCAAGGATCCCCCAATTTTGTTCTTTCACAACTTAAAGATATTTACTCGTCCTTTGTTGCATCTGTACGATTCAAGAAGCTTTCACCTGCTCAATTAGCGTATCTTCATTCTTTGGTTGTTTTACCAAAAGTTTAATTCCGTTCTCAAGTATTGTACTTGTCAAAAGCGCAGGTTATGCGAATTGCCAATGGATACTATGGTCTTCAACGTAAAGCTCTTTCTGTGGCTCGAACTTTTCCTTCAATAGCCCTAACTAGTAGATTCTTTAGTAAAGATTCTAATCCTTATGATTCCTTATGTGAATGACTTATATGCCGTTTTCTATCCTGGATTTCATTTTTATCTACTAATTCCAAACAGGCAAATTGGGTTCTTATTATGTTACAAACCTTGCAGCTTACTTTAAAATGGCCTACTTCTCTTGACTCTCTTATAGACTTCTCTTTATGGACTTTAAAACGTCGTTCCATCAGTCATAATTGGGGTTTTCAAACTATCAAATTACTTCGAGAATCTGGACTTCAGTTTGATTTTCCTGATCATACTAGGACCCCGGATATCTCCAAAACCTGTCTCTTATACACATCTAGATGTGTATAAGAGACAGCACTTTCGGCAGATTGGCCCATTTTTCAGGGGCTCAAAAAATCGTTTTTTGTAAATATCTCGGCATCCAGTAGTCCAATTTTGATGAACTTTTTTTTAAATTGTAGAGCTAAATGAGGGCTACAAAATAAAAAAAAGTTCATTAAAATTGAATTACTGGATGCTGAGATATTTACAAAAAACGATTTTTTGAGTTTCAGCAAAAAGGGGTGTTTTTGGCCAAAAGTCCATTATGACCTTTATATTAGATATCCGGGGTCCTATCATACTTTTCTTGAGTTAATGCCTAACGAAGCTTGCCCTCTAGTTTCCTTATCATCTGATCTGGCTGTTTTGGAAATACGTTCTTGGCTTAAATCTGCTCTTTGGTGCCTTTCACAAGTCGTGGATCTATTTTATAATTTTCAGTATACATGGAATGACCTTAAATTAATGGGTCTTGTTGCTTCTACTGGAAAAATTTCTTCTTGGTTTCAAATTATTACCTTTCTTCCCAATCCTATTTCCTATTTACCTAAACGCATCGAACCCATTAATATCACTCCATCCTTGTTATCTTTGGTTGGAAAATTTATTGATACAATGGACACTTCCTCTTATATTCGACTCCGTAATAAATATTATTGGATTGCTTGAATAGACTTTTCTGGTTCTCTTGTTTTTGGATGGGTTTTTTACACCTTTGATGATGATTCTGGAACTCGTGTTGTTTATTTTTCCTATTGGATTCCTACCACACACAACCGAATGCAGATTACTCCTTGCCCCAGCTGTTCCCTTCATTGCCTTGATATGGATGAAGGCCCTTTGGCTTTAAAAACTGTTGGCGGCAAATTAATTCATCGTTCTTGTTTATCTGTTTTACCTTCTTATCGTTGTTTACAACTTTATCAAATGACTGTGCATGTAGATATTTCTCAACAAATTATTAATTTAAAACTTTCTCCTTTTATTTTATGTTCTTTTTTTAGATTTCTCCTTGGTTTTTCTGAAATATACATTTCCGAAAGATACTTTGCAATAGCTCAACTACCTTTATTACACTGTGACAGTTCTCCTGTTTTCTTACCTGATCTTACTCCTGTTTCAAATCCTGCCTTTGCTCTACAATCGGGTACCAAATTCCATTTATCTGGAACCATACACGTTGTTGATTCTTCAATTACACTTTTGGCCTGTGCTTGGGTACAAACTCTTGATGATTTCATACTTGATTCCGGAATATTTTCCTGCCCTATGATTTCTCCCTACAATGATGTTGCGGAACTTGCTTTCGTATTATATGTGTTGAACTCCCTCTCTTTGGACTCCTATGTCTCCTTTGTATCTTCGTTTAAGTTCGATGAGTTATTTTCACAATGGAACGATGCTTCCTCCACACGCTGAATCTGATCAAAAAATAATTCCTTATGGTCTTGTATATCGGAATTATTGAATTCCAAACAAATTCTTTGTACTTTTTTTAGTTTCCACAAAGATTCTATTTCTGCACCTTCTAAGCGAACTTATAACATCATCAAAGCCTCAAATTAGCATAATTTGTTACAACCTATACCGCTTATGGATGATATTTTTCCTTCCTCTCTTAAAACTATGGGACTCTTTACTGATCATGATGAACTTTTAACTTACAATCCGGTCAAGTATTGGCGGATGTTTACAGATATTCGCCATTTTTTCTCATTAATAGGCCTTTCACGGTTTTTGCCTTTGCAATTGGCTTTTCATGCTGTGGATTGGTCTCTTTCCTTTGACATCTTCAAATCAAGTTTATATCCGAACCTCGCAGTATCTAAGGCCTCGAATTTTATTCAATTTCGTCTTAAGCTTTGGTTCGATGAACTTCCTATCATGTATAAGCTTTGCCAGAGATTTCCTGGTCTATATGCCGATAATTCTTTATGTCCGCTTTGTGGCATTTTCATGGAAACATTGGAACACCTTTTTATTTGTTCCCCTAATTGTTTGGATGTTGATGAGGATCATTCCCTGCTTCTGATTTATAAGGATGTGACTACAAATCTCATCGAACGCTTCTTGGTCAAGCTCGCTACTAAGGTCTCCTCTTCTTCCAGATGTAAACAAATGTACGATGAACTTCTCGTGACCCTTCGTAATCTACCATCGCTTGGTCTTCCAGATTTGCTTTCGAGCGATAATTATTCTTCCTTTTCTGCATCTTGGTTTCTCTGAGGTTTTTTTCCACGTGATCTTCCGAAGTGTCTTATACGATACTTCGGTCTTAATTATAAATCTTTATCTCCTATTATTTCTCGCACATTTTTGAAATTCCAACGTGAAATTTATCATGGACTTTGGTGACCGAAATGTAAAATTAAAGTTACAAAAGACGTGGCATTGGGTATTTTGCTGAGTACTCTATGATCATACAAAGGACCTTCCGTTCAACCTTTCCATTTTTCCGCCCCTCAAGTAGTTTTGTCTCCAGCCGATGGGCCTTTTTCCCCACTTCAGGCCTCTGAATGGTCTTCTTTTGATATCAAGTGGCTCCATTCCTCCTTAACTCAACGACAATTATGGTTTCACCACCTGTTGGATTTTCTGAAGAGTCGAACAGTCCTTATCTGGAATAATATCTTGGCAGGTTGTAAGATCGGGTAAGATTTTCTAGATTTGGGTAGTTGATCTGAAACTTTGCTTTTTAGGTTTAAAGTTGGGATATACAAGTTTGGGATTTATAGTTTAGTTTACATTTCTATATGTACAAATTTGTGCGACTATTTTCTTTTTATTTTAGTTTTATTTATTTACTTTTCTTTTCATTGTATTTTGAGTTACGAAGTTATAAATGATTAATAAAAATTACTGTTAGCCTATCAAATGTGAGTTGTGAGGATCTATGCAACTCTTTCCCTGATTTTTGAAATTACTAACAAAAAATTATTTTTGAAATTTTCGTTTGAAAATTTCTAAGTGCTTATTCAAAATACTAATATTTCCCCAGTTGCTTTCCTCTTTACTGAGCTTTATACTATGTCTACACCTCCAGCTCCCTCCGTTATTAACCCAGATATTCTGCCGCCACCGCGTCCTGATACTTCTGCTCCTTCTGGAGACTGACCTTTATCTCACACTAATACCGCTGACACGCTGAACAAACGTTCGCGTACTGTCACTGATGACGCTATGAATGTTGATATAACTTCGCCCTCTGCTCCTGCTCCCAACCTTATTTCCAGCATTCCTTCTGACCTTCCCATCAATCGAGTTCCTGTTATCACTCAACCGCCTTCTACTAACACGTCTTTAGAGTCTTCTATATACGCACATTCCCTTCCTGTTTTTACGAACCATTCACCTAATGATAAGGGTAAATCTGTGGCCTTCGACGTATCTATACGCTAACTTTCCCCTGATGGTGAAGCCGCTGCCATCAAATCTTCTCCTTCCAGATTTCATGCTGCGGCATATCTTTGCGATGCGCCTGTCACGTTCAAAGAAAAATTTACCACTAACCGCGCAGGACCTCGGAAACTATATATAAAGGTTGGTCTAAAAAATTGAATTTTTTATATGAACTTTACCCAAACTCCTATTGGATAGATGGTCAAAAAAGGAAAAAAATCATAACAAAATTGGTATCACCTTCCTTTTAAGTATATAATTTAGCTATTTTTAGTAATGATTTGCAAAATATTTTCTTATGACTTTACCCATTTTAATTGCAACCTATCTATAGAGTTTCCGGGGTCCTAACCGCGCCATATGTGACAAAGTAGATAGAGCCCTCTCCCGATATTCCTCTTATGGTTCGCGTGCCTATTGTGAAGGGTCAGGAGACAATAAAAGAATCCTTATCTTTTTCTTTGCCCAGGAAGATCATACTGCATGCGTACAATCACTATGTGCTGATCTTCTTGATCTGGCCTTTGCCTCTTATTCGCCTGCAGATGCGCATCGCAGTGATGAAGAAAAGTCTTTGTTCGTTACTGACATTCTCCTTTTTCCTTAATGAAACACAAATCAGACAGGCCTTTTCCCGTTATGGCAATGCAGTTAAATGCAAACTTACTACTAGGAACTATTACTATAATGCCCACGTTCAATTCTCCAATACGAGCTCTATTACACAATTTGATGACATTTGGGTGATCATTTGTCTCAGTAACTCACTCTGCATTTGTCCAGCTTCTTATTCGAAAACCCAACGTGATATCCGCAGGGAACATGTTGCTATTTTTGCAGGCATCCCCAAGAATATCAAAGAAGCCGACCTTCTTAAGATCGCCTTACATGTCAATGCTAAAGCTATTAACATCCCTCTTTCTTACAATTCTTACAAACCTAAGCCTTATGCATATTTGAATTTTTCATCTTTTGAAAGTCTCAAGGCCGCTAAGGAATTGACTATCGCTTTTCGAAATAAAGGTTTATCTTGGCACTCTCCCAATGAAGCCAAAAATCTCTGTCATGTTTATGGATGACATGGATGTTCTCCTTCCGCATGTAGCCTCCAGTCCGCTCGCAAAACCAATGACCGTTTGGACAAACTTTATATACAATTCAATGCTGGCCCTAAATGTGGCCGCTTTGATTCTCGACAAACACAATTCCCTTCAAATTCACGTTCACAGTCAAGATCTAATTCATGCTCTTGTAACTGTACTTTTACTGAACGCTCCAATAATCCCAATAGGTCTAATTCTGGTCTCTCTAATACTTGGCCGCATATTCGCGCCTCTCGCAGTAATGCTACAAACTCTCAACGAATTACCAATGTTAATGCTCAATCTGGATCTAGTTCCGGTCCCTCCTCCTCACCTCCCCCCAGTCCAATTCCTTTTTGCCTCCAGATGTCATTAATGAAATTAGACAACAACTCAAGACCGTTGCTTTACAGCTTAAAGATCTTGATGATAAAGTTGCTTAGAATTTAAGGTTGCTTGTCTAAACCTCTTCAAAATCCTACGATTAGTTTCGTCAAAATTTTACTATAGATTTATTATAGTTTCGGTAGAGTTTCAGCAGTTTCGGCATTTATAATAAGTTTCGGCAGTTTCGCCTTTTTCCAAAATTTTGCCAGTTTTTTAATATAACTTTAATATAGTTTCAGCAGAATTTCGCTTTTCGGCGAAATGCCATCTTGCCTAAACCCCTAGGTTTCGGCAAGCAACCTTAGCTTAGATGGAATGTTCCATCACAGATCATGACTACCGCATTAAGGAACTTGAATCAATGATGAACTATGACGGCCCTCCTGATAACACTTCTTCTCAAGCGCCTGACCTTTACTTATATGATGCTGGTTGGGATCACCAACCAGACCTTGATAATGACAAAAATTATAAAAATAATTCTTCTCTCTCACCTGCACACATTGATCCCAATTTTTCTATCATGGATACCTCCCCGGATGTCTTCTTCTCCACCCTCAATCCTAACTCAATCCTTACTAGCAGACACACTCCATTATCCAATCATGTTAACCTTGGTGGCTCTTCTAATGATTCATCAAAATTACGTCAAGAAATCTCCTCAGTCTTCAGTACTCAACAAAATCTTTCCATTCAATTAGGCTCCATCCTTGAGAAATTGGAATCCTTTTCTTCCCTGACTCCACCCCCCCTTCTAAATGATTGACAACCATATCATGATAGGTGGTATATAGGGACCTCACCCTCCTAATAGTGCGCCTAATATAAACTCTTCAATTCCTCCTTCCCCTATTAACTGTTTTGATATCTTCCCTGAACAATCCAATCGTGAATTAAATTTTTCTAATATTTTACGAATTGGTACTCTTAATGTTCGTTCTATAGTTTATTTCACGAAACAATTGAATTTATTTTCCTTATTGCTGTCTCACCAACTCCATGGTATAATCCTTACTGAAATCAATTTATGATCACCCGCTCACAAATATGTGTGTGAATCTTATCTTTCACAATATTCATTTCACAAATGGTTTTCATTCTTGCCTTTTGTCAATCATCACGCGGATGTTAGTATTATTCTTTATTCCAGTTTAGCTATGTATGTAATTAGAAAACGGTTCTATAAGGACCGGTTAATTTTACTTTTCCTTCAGCTACCAGGTCATCAGAATGTTTACATTATTGGTGCTTATGTGCCTCCATCTAGTGGACTTAATAACAGAGTAATCTCTGATTGCCATTCCACCCTTATCTCTTGAATTACTGAGGCACGCTCTACTGGTGCTCATGTTTTATTAGGGGGTGACTTGAATGCTGAATTTGATGGCTACCTTAAGAATATTTCTTATCTGACTATTTCATCTCCTATTAATCCTTTATTTCGATATTTATATTCCCATCAATTTGATGATTTGTGTGCTTTTGATTTTTCTTCCTCCTTCTACCTACATTCCGATCTTCGAGTTCTAATCATTTATCCCGTTTAAATTATCTTTGAACTTTCCTGCTTTTTCAGCCGCTCATTTGTGGTCCTATGTTTTAGACCCCTCAGATACTTTTAGTTCTGATCATTTTTTATTGATTGCTTTTTTTGATTTCCTTAATATTCATGATCTGCGTACTCCAAGTTATTTAAAACAACGGTTACACTACCATACTGAGTATAATATTCATGCTGCTCTTCCCAATCATAAGATCCTTTTCACTGCAGAGGTAGATTCTGGACTTAAGAAATTTACACCCGCTAATGGCGATGGTCATCTTAACAATAACTGGCATCGCTTGAAATTTGCCTTACTTAACGCTGCCCATAGTGCTTTTCTCAAACGAGTGATTTCTCTGAACAAGCCTCAAGCAGTTCCGTTTGAATTTAGACCTATTATCATTATATTGGCTCACTTTTTAAAATTTTTTCGATTTCTGACCTTTATTATTCTTGGAATCGATTTTTTCCTTCTTTTTGTAGTGAATTTACGGATTTATTTCCTAATCAGATTGCTTTTATTGAAGTCCTTCCTGTTCCTGTTACACTTTATTCAATTTTTTCCTCCTTGCATTTAGGTTTTCCGAATTTCTTAACGAAATTTCGATCATCTTTGCGAACCGTTAAAAAGTTTATTTCTGGAAAAGTCACCACAGAATTTGACAATTATAAGCAAGTTGCCATAAAAGCAGCTATTGCCAGACGGAATTCTAATTTCTATAAAGATAAAGGAAAATTTATCCGCAGTTCTTTGAATCGTGAAAAGCGAAGCATTGTTTTGGACAGAGTGCTTATTACTGATATTTCCGGCAATTCTCAATTGTTGATTGCATCAGATGATATCCATAAGGCTGCCATTAGACACTTTCAAAATGTGGTTGGCCCTAGTAGATCTCCGTTCAAAACTCTTGACGAACTCCCTGATCGATGGAAAAGTCGTTATACTCCTATTTCTATGATCAACCCAGATATATATTCAATGATCATGGCACCTATTACCGAAATTGAACTTCTATCCGTCATTAATAATTCTCCACATCATAAGGCTTCTGGCCCTTCGTTTATACCTTATGAATAGTTTAGATTATTATCTTCTGAGGCACTCCTCTATTTATGTAATTTAATGAACTCATATTTGGCGACATCCGATATCCCTGAAGATTGGTGTCTAGCTTCTATTGTACCCATTCCCAAACCTTATGAATTCAAATGTCTATTGAAGAATACCCGCCCAATTATCTTATTGGAAACTGCTCGAAAATTAATGGTCAAAATCATTACTGATCGCCTCTTTAGAGTTATGACTCAACATCAAGTACTTACTGGCAGAAATTTCGCTAGACTTCCTAACTCTTCTGTCAATACTCCTATCAATATTTTGGATGGTATTATGAAACATCATCGTATTTCCCAAAATTCTCAAGAATTATGGATTTTAAGTCAAGATATTTCCAAAGCATTCGACTCTATAGATTTGAGCATGTTTCGACTTTGTTTCGATTGGCTTAAATTTCCTTCTAATCTTTCTGAATTTATAATAAGTCTATTTACCTCTAGAAAAAATAGAATTTTGACTCCCTTTGGCAAAACTGAATCATACGACCTCTTGATAGGAATTGATCAAGGTGAGGTTATTTCTCCGCTCCTTTGGACTATTTACTTTGATCCCCTTTTGACTGAATTGTCATCATCAGTGATTTCCCCTTATATATGGAGTTCCGGTATCCCTGCAAATATTCTTAACATCAATAATAATGATAATGTTGCTGTACCCATCACTCAACTTACCTATATGGATGATTCCACTTTGATTGCCTTCTCTTTGACAGGCTTAAAGCAATTACTTTCTATAGCCCGTGATTTTTATTTTTTAAATAATATTACAGCGAAATTTTCAAAATATGAGTTAGTTTCTTCCTCAGCTGGCAATAATTTAATTTCATTTCACTTGGATTCAGAAATTTTGGATCATCTTTCTCCTATGAGCTTCTCTTTACAAGCTCTAAGATTATCTTCATCTTTTCGTTTTTTGGATGTTTGGTTCAATTTGCAAAGTTCCCCAAATTTTGTTCTCTCACAACTTAAAGATATTTATTCTTCTTTTGTCGCATCGGTTCATTTTAAGAAACTTACACCTGCTCAATTGGCTTATCTTCATTCCTTGATTGTTTTACCAAAAATCCAATTCCGTTCTCAAGTTTTGTACTTGTCAGAATCGCAGATTATGCGAATTGCCAATGGATATTATGGTCTTCAACGCAAAGCTCTTTCTGTAGCTCGTACTTTTCCTTCAATAGCTTTAACTAGTAGATTTTTTAGTAAAGATGCTAATCCATATGATTCCTTATGTGAACGACTTTTAAATCGTTTCCTATCTTGGATTTCTTTATTATTCACTGGTTACAAGCAGGCAAATTTGGTTCTCATTATGTTACGAACTCTGCAGCTTATTTTGAAGTGGCCTTGTTCTCTTGACTTTCTTATAGATTTTTCTCCATGGACTTCCAAATACCATTTCATTAGTCATAATTGGCTCTTTCAAGCCATAAAATTACTCTGCGAATCTGGACTCCAATTTGATTTTCCTAATAATACTTTCCTCGACTTGATGCCTAATGAAGTGTGCCCTTTAGTCTCTTTATCTTCTGATTTGGCTGTTTTGGAAACACGTTCTTGGCTTAAATCTACCCTTTGGTGCTTTTCGCAAATTGTGGACCCATTTTATAATTTCCAATTTACATGGAGTGACCTTAAATATATGGGTCTTGTGGTTAATACTGGAAAAACTCCCTCTTGGTTTTGGATTATTACTTCTCTTTTCAACTCATCTTCCTATTTACTTAAATGAATGGACGCCAGAACCATAGTACCGGCGTTTTTATGTAAAAAAAAATCAAAAGAAAACGCCGGAACCATAGTACCGGCGTTTTTATGTAAAAAAAAATAAAAGAAAACGCCAGAACCCATAATTCCGGCGTTTTTATGTAAAAAAAAATTAAAAGAAAACGCCGGAACCATAGTACCGGCGTTTTTTATGTAAAAAAAGTTAAAAGAAAATGCCAGAACCATAGTTCCGGCGTTTTTATGTAAAAAAAAGTTAAAAGAAAATGCCAGAACCATAATTCCGGCATTTTTATGTAAAAAAAAGTTAAAAGAAAACGCTGGAACCATAATTCCGGCGTTTTTATGTAAAAAAAAGTTAAAAGAAAACGCCGGGACCATAGTTCCGGCATTTTTATGTAAAAAAAAGTTAAAAGAAAACGCCGGAACCATAGTTCCGGCGTTTATGTAAAAAAAAAATAAAAGAAAACGCCGGTACCATAGTACCGGCGTTTTTATGCAAAAAAATTCTAAAGAAAACGCTGGGACCATAGTACCGGCGTTTTTATGCAAAAAAAATCAAAAGAAAACGCCGGAACTATAGTACCGGCGTTTTTATGTAAAAAAAATAAAAGAAAATGCCGGGACCATAGTACCGGCGTTTTTATGTAAAAAAAATAAAAGAAAACGTCAGAACCCATAGTTCCAGCATTTTTATAAATATACGAAACTACAGTTATGGGCAGCAATTAGAATTGCAGAATTGCGGGCTACTAACCGCAATTCAACTCCAAAATCCGCAATATTGCGGAATTTGAAAATCATTTGCGGACCCATCCTTAGCCTTCCGCAATAAAGGCTTATCTTGGCACTCTTCTAATGAAGCTAAAAACCTCTATCATGTCTGTGAGCGACATGGATGTGGTCCTTCTACATGTAATCCTCGACCCACTCGCCTAAATGAGGCTGCTCTGACTCTTAGTAATCACAATCACAATTTTCCTCCAAATCGCGTTCGCGATCTTGGTCTAACTCACGTTCACATGACTATAATTCCAATAAACATTCAACTAACTCCAATAAATCCAATTCTGGCCCTTCTTCTACCCATACACCTGTCCGCTCTACTCGCAATAATAATGTGAATTCTCAGAATAATGCCTAAATTATCGCTCAGAACAATACCAGTTCAGACCCCTCCTCTTTACCTTCCCCTCAACCTAAGCATTCTTTACCTCCTGATATTATCGAAGACTTGAAGAAACAACTCAAGAATATAGCACAGCAGCTTTGTGCCCTTGATGAAAAAGTCAGTTGGATGGAATATTCCATCATAAATCATGATTATCGTATTAGGGAACTTAAGTCGATGATGAACTACGATGACCCTCCTGATAACACTACCTCTTATGCGCCCAACTTCTATTCCAATGATGCTGGTTGAAATAATTGTCATCATAACAACAATAATAATGATACTTCCTTTTCACCTGTATATGCTGATTCCAATCCTTCTATTATGAATATTGAATACCTCTCCAGATACTTCCTTTTTCACCTTTAACCCTAATTCTATCCTTTCTAATAGACACACTTCTTTACCTAATCATGTTAACATTGGCGTCCCTATTGATTCAACAAATTTATGCCAAGAAATCTCACTGGTTTCCAGTACCCAAAAAAATCTCTCTCATCAACTAGGCTCCATTATTGAAAAATTAGATTCATTTTCTTTTCCGAATTCGCCCTCTTCTTCTAAATGATTTACAACAATCCTATGACAGGTGGTTCACAGGGATTTTACCCCCTGATAGTATGCCTAATATGAATATAAATCCTTTACCTTCTTCCTCTCCTATTCAATATTTTGACATTTCCTCCGATCAGTTTAGTCATGAACTTAATTCCTCTAATATTTTACGAATTGGTATTCTTAGTGTTCAGTCTATAGTTCATTCTTCTAAACAATTGAATTTATTTTCTTTACTTTTTTTCCATCAACTTTATAGGACCCCGGGTATCTCCAAAACAGGTCATAAGTCACACTTTCGGCAGATTGGCCCATTTTTCAGGGGCTCAAAAAATCGTTTTTTGTAAATATCTCAGCATCCAGTGGTCCAATTTTGATGAACTTTTTTTTAAATTGTAGAGCTAAATGAGGGCTACAAAAAAAAAAAGTTCATTAAAATTGAATTACTGGATGCTGAGATATTTACAAAAAACGATTTTTTGAGTTTCAGCAAAAAGGGGTGTTTTTGGCCAAAAGTCCATTATGACCTTTATATTAGATATCCGGGGTCCTAACTTCATGGTTTAATTCTTACTGAAACTAATTTAAGATCACCAGCTTATAAATATGTGTGTGAACCTTATCTTTCTCAATTTAATTATCACAAATGGTTTTCATTTTCACCCTCCATCAACTATCATGCAGGTGTTAGAATAATCCTTCATTCTAGTTTAGCCATATATGTAATTAGAAAACGGTATTATAAAGACTGTTTAATTTTCCTTCTTCTTCAATTACCTGGTCAACAAGATATTTTCATTATTGGTGCTTATGTACCTCCCTCCAATAGACTTAATAGTAGATTAATTTCTAAGTGTCATTTCACCCTTATCTTTTAGGTCACCACAGCGCAGTCTACTGGTGCACATATTTTATTAGATAGAGATCTGAATGCTGAATTTGACTGTTATCTTAAATACATTTTTGATCTGACTATTTCACTCTTTATTTTGTTATCTACATTCACATCAATTTGAAGATCTGTGTGCTTTTGACTCTTTTTCTTCACCTTTACCTACATTCAGATCATCGAGCTCTGGACACTTATTTTGTTTGGATTATCTTTGAACATCCCCTGCTTTTCCTGCTGCTCACTTATGGTCCCATATTTTGGATTCTTCGAACACTTTTAGTACTGATCACTTTTGTTGATTGCCTTCTTTGATTTTCTCAATATCCGAGACTTACGTGCTCCAAGTTATATATTTGAAACAGCGTTTACGCTATCATACTGAATATAATGTACACGCTACGCTTTTTGATCAAAAAAATTTTTTTTACAGCTAAAGTGAATCTTGGCCTTAAGAAATTGGAAAATTCCAATGGTGATGGACACCTCAATAGAAACTGGTACTGATTGAAATCTACTCTACTCAATACCGCATGACGCGCTTTTCCAAAATGAGTGATTTCTTTAAACAAACCTCAAGATATTCCATTTGAATTCAAACCTTTTATTCATCTTAGTC